GCTCAACTCTTAATGTGGCCATTCATGTTGCATCTGGGATACTTGGGAGGAAATCATCCTCAAAGTATCTCAACAGAAATACTAATCGGGTAAGCAGGTGCTCGTTTTCTTGTTTGACTGCAGTGTGCGCGCCCGCCCGACCAGAAGGAAAACAAAAAAAGGAGGGTTCCTTTCCTTACGCCTGTTTCACCCGTCAAACGAGATAAGACTCCTAAACACACGGCGAGCACGTGTTGGCGCGCCGCATTGCTTTGTGTGAAACTCCAGTATGCACAGCAGCCACATCACCATTGTGTGAGCAGCGCGTGATCGATGAGTCGCTGAACTACTGCGCGCTGACAGGTCAGTGTGGGCCGAGCTTTACGCTGCTCGCTTGGACCGCTCAAAAGTCTCATTTCTTCATGAAAAGTTAATCCCAAAAAACCATGCCGATTAGTAAAAAAAGCCACTTAAGCAGTATTTTTTTATGCCACACACAAATGAATTCGTACAAGATACGTTTGACAATGATAGAATACGATTCCGTTGCAATGCCCCCCCTGCATTCAATAGTGGCTATTGAGAATATATACAAAGACTTTTGATATTTTGTTTGCAAGAACTGGTTCGTTACGAGCGTACTCTGGCTCTAAAGCCTCTTGAGAGAGACTCTGAACTCCCTCGAGCTCGTGCAGCCGGCTCACTGACTTAACAGAAATATCTGGGGGCCAGAAAGCAAAACGAGACTTTTCCACGTCACTGTTGACAATGTCTTTGACCAAATAAAATGAACCTGAACTCCGTACGCGCCACACACTCCCTCTGCACTAATGACCACCTTATTTCCCTGTGAGCTTTTATATTCTTTAACATAAAACATACCTCTCCTGTTTTTTTTCTAGCTGTACCGTCATTGCTGGCCCTCTTCTAAACTTTTTCTGTCGACTTCTCAGTATCTGCTGCCAGCTGGCTGAGAACCCAAGTAGTGTGTATCGGCAAATATTCCGTACAGCTCTTAGGCCACACTTTTCCCAGACAGTAAATCTGGTGACTTCACAGCACTAATCAGATATCCTTTGAAGCTCCACTGATCTCACTTTGTAGCCGACAACAAATAACATGCACTTTTATTACTTGCTGGACATTTTGTATTTTTTTTTTCCCCTAATCCTTTCAAGTTTGTCCTCAGCAGAATTGTATGTGTTATGATCCGTCTCTTGCTCCCTCCCTGTGCCTCATCCCTCTTTTTTTCTATCTAATCCCAGACGAAAGGGAGTTGGACACTCATTCCAAAAGTTGAATTTGTAAATAGCTTGAACCACATCTAAGGGAGAGACGGAATTAGCAAGAAAACACAGACTCAGAGCGGAGAAAGGAAAACGGATAAATACCATATTGTTAAATATTTAGGGAAATAATCTGTTGCATGTCCCGCGCAAGAGGTGATTGGAGACGGTAATCTACATGGATAAGTAAATATGGAGATGTGCACAATTTATACACTCACTCAACTGTTTATTCTCTTACTCTGAAGTTAAAAGGTCCTATGATCACTTTTAGTACCATTAATAGATAAATCCCAAACAACAAATGAAGAGATATGCATCTAATGTGGAAAAACCTCCGGCAACAAACCCACACTTACCATCTCACCACCTTCATACTAAAAAAACACATCCCTTTTAATGTGGCTGACGTGTCCTTCTGACGCCAGCGAGGCACCGCGGTTCGATTAGGGATCTGCTGGCAAACAATACCAGGGCCCAGTGCCATGTCCAGCTGCTTCCCCGGCACAAAAGCCCCCACTGAAGTAGATTCTGTTTATTTATTCTCTTTTTAAAAGACTGACATGAAAGATGTGACTGGTTATGTGTGTTTATTAGGACTTGGGTTGGCAAGCCCCCCCGGCCCCCAGACAGTCAAAAGGGCTGTTTGATGCCGGACCCGAGTAGTCTCGCCTGTCGGGATCAGCTGGTTACTCTGGGTTCATTCATTCTGCTGACATTCAGACATAATGTAGCATGACCTCCAAGCATCCACAGTGCCGTTTCAGCGCTACAGAAAGGACAGGCTGCACACATTCTCACACTGGTGCATGGGAGGGGGAAAAAAAAGAAGTTCTGGCTTGTTTTTTGTACTTTTTTTAAACAACAATAAGAGCAAAATACAGGATACGGCAGTAGTGCATTTTGCTAAATAGAAACAGAGCTTCGAAGGGAGAATGAAGCAGGCTGTGTGAGATGTTGAGCAGCCTCCTCACTAGCATGTCCTCCTTCTCGTCTTCTCTTCACATTTGGAAAATTATGCAAGCTTCAGGGCAAGGTGGCACACTGAGGTTTTCTCAAAACCTGAAGGTGATGCCACGGCTCCTGCCGTTGTTGCACCAAGTGGCTCCACACTCACTTCTGAACACTCGGCCACATCCCACGTGCAGCCCTGTGGGGAATGGCAAAGCCTCACGTCTGCAGCCGATTAGGGGGAGAGATTACGGGCTGCCAGGAGAGACCGGGCCATGGTGGAGGTGTGGGTGCTGGTAGAGATGGAATGAATAAAAGACGAGTTGAAACCACATTAGACCTGCCGGGCTTATCCGCCATCAGCTCCGGAGCAGTTGCCGCTTCCTGATAAAGATGCAAGGAGTCATGGTGGGAAGAAGAAGGGGGAGGAGAAAAAAATTATTAAAGTTTGAAACCATTAAGTTTACGGGTTCCACCCCTACTATCAATTCACTCGCAAGCGAATCCAAACTCCACTCGCTTTTTGCTTCTTTTTACCTTCATCTCGTCCCTCGGCCCATTCTGGAGTGCTGGTGCGTTGAGCCATCAACCGACCAAGGGAGATATTTCTGTCCTCATTGTAGTTTACAGTTCCACGTCCTTCTGGATATATTCATTCCCCGGTGAGGGAAAAAAAACCCTTCGTTTTGGTTGAAGTCGTAGGGAATTCTGAAATGAGCCCATGATATGCACGGCCACATCATTTAAAACTTCAGTTCAGATGCGCCAATCAAAACAACCACTAATCAGTGTTTCGCTTCAGACGTCCAAATCATTTCAGGTTTGTAATTTTACTGCCGGACGCCGGAGGATGTTTCAGTCTTTGTCCTCTTTGTTTCACTCTGACTTACTGGAAGGCACTGACAATATGGCAACAGGGTCAAATAAGCAGACGTAGTAAAAGATTTCAGAGGGTGCGTATAGCTTGGTTATGTTTTTAATAAAAACACACCTGTTTTAAGCTCTTAAATATCCGTTATCTCCCACTAATTCCAATTCTCCTCTCCACTTTTGAATCAGGAGCAGCTCCACCATCTAGTGGTTGCATGTGAAACACGTCGTCAGCTTCCTTCAAAACTCGATGACCTCCTTCGCAATGCAACAGTCCCCAATGCAGATCATAAAGTAGTACTCGTGTAGCTTCTATGGTTACACAAATAACTCCGAGCCAATCATTTGAAGTTCATCCATACTGCGGTAATGATGCTAATAAGGGTAATGACAAAGCGGATCCTCAGTTCTCCTTTCATGTCAGCCACGGAACAAGAACAACAGCTTCCTTCCTTAGGACAGTATTGAATGGATGTTGGCTTCAGAGAGTTTCTCAACTCGCTTTGAAAATCAAGGTTTTCCCTTTTTTTTTTTTTAATCGCGAGAGAAGCGGCAACTGGAGCAAGTGAGAGAAAGCGGGAAAGGGATTGTTTGGAGTCAGAAACACATTTCAAAGGCTTCCCCCCCCAAAAAAACAGCCTGCAAAATCTGAGATGAAATCAGCTAATAAAGCGCCACATGGTAATAAATAATGCAACAAGAGGAAACAACATGAAAGATCTTTTCATCTCTGTGTGGATAGGAAAAGGGGAAGGAAGCGATGAGAACGTGTGAAGGTTCAGTTCTGTAGGACTCTAGATTGTTGGACTTTCCTTTGAATCTTTGGGAGATTCGATCAGGAGGAGAAATGTATTTCTGGTTTACGGTTTTGATGGCGTGCTCAATTAGTGTCGCAAACATTCTTTGTTTCAACATTCTCACAACAACATGCTTCCAGGAAGCTGGGGGAGATGAGGACCGCCGTGACCTTTCGACACTTGTCTTCTTCTGTAGATAGTACCAGCTTGTCTACGCGCAGATAATCTTCTGGTCTCAACATCTTTCTATGTTGTAAAAATGTAAATTGATCGGTTTTCATTTCCCCCCATCAGTCCATGCAAATAGTTCCCCTGATTTTATCCTCTTTAGCTCCTCTAGTCATTAAAGTGGAGCCAATTCTTATGACTCAGAACAATCAAGAGGCCAGAAAATCCCCCTGCGGCCAACCAAAATAGTTCTGTCCACTAGCTGACAGCCGATGACAGACATCAAACCGGCCACGGGGGGTTCCTTTACGAATCGTGGATGTGCGTGGCGGCGTGGGCTCTGTGCACAGGATGAAGGGGCTTGAGTAGTGACTGGAAGTGGACTGTGTGGTCATAATTAAAAAAGGCAGCACTGAGAGTGGACAAGTGCTAAAGCTGCATGTGAAGCTAGTGTGCACGTGTTAATAGGTGGAAGTGAGAAAGGGGGGGGGGAGCCTACAGTTGTCCAACACTGACATCTTGGGGCCCGACGTGGAAACTGACCGTAAAAAAAGGCAGCGGAGCCTCTGTTACATTCTCCCTGAGAGGAGTGCAACAAACATAAAAACGTGTAAATAGTTGACCCGTTAGCAGGGGCGGCCTGTATTTACCCTCTACTTTTACAATGTATTGTGACATTAATACATACTGGAACGTAAAAAAGAAACATCTGAAAACCAGCACCCCATTCTGGATTATTACCTGCCACCGGTTTGTGGTGATTTGATTAAATACAGCTAAACGAAGTGTGCAGCGTGGCAGTAAAGCATTGAAGCCGGTAGGTGGCAAAGGAGACCAAATCAAATAGAAGAAAGTGAGAGTGAGAGAGAGAGAGAGAGAGAGAGAGATGCTGGGGCCGGCATGGATGGGGGAGAGAACCGAGAGAGAGAGAGAGAGAGAGCGCGAGAGAGATGGAGGGGAGCGAGCAGATCACCGTCGTTTAAACGGCGTGCGCGAACCCCGTGCGCCTCTCTCGCGCTCACCTGTCCCGGGACTCACACGCGTCATAACGGGTGCTCGAGCGGCGCTCCTCGCGCTGCCTCCTCCCCGGGGGGGGATATGGATTAACTCGGTGGTCTCCGGCTCGAGGAAGGTGCGGCTGGTTTTTTGTTTTTGTGGCGCTTGTCGAAGTTGCTCCACGTCGGTCGGCGGGATTAGAGAGGAGACCGCGTCGACTCGGTAAGGTCTCTTATACGCGTGACTCGCTCGTTATTTACACAGCCAGACACAACGTGCCCGAAATAGATTTTCGGTTTATATCATTTGTATTTATTTCCCTTCGGAGCCTCTCTGCGAGCTGGCAGATGACGTCGCTTCGACAAACATTTATTATGAAATCCACCGGCTCACTAATATGCGGTTTGTAATTAAAACAAACAAACTGGAAATGACGAGCCCAACCGCCCAAAATGTATACCCTACATTAGGAAAACAACACCTTGCTAATTAACTAATATACCTGCAATAGTCCTACTGTCAGTGAACGTTACACCTTCGTTCTGCTGGGTAAAAGTTACCTGCCAACCTTTTTGAAACAGCCCGATGGAGGTTAATGAGGGATTTCTGAGCTTAAAACACTCAGGCGTGGATGCGACTGAAAGGGAAGGGAAGGGGGGGGGGGGTCTTCGTGCTCTAAATGTCTCCATTTAGCTGAGAAACAAACAGGGATCCCCGGCTCCTTTTGGAGCAAATAACTTATTTGAACTAAAATTGTCCATATTCAACTACAGCGCAATAACTGATGAATAGACTAACAGTGGCTAGTCTGTGGGAATTATCTGATCAATGCAACCTGGAAACGTAAACACATGTATACACATGTGTGCACACAGACACTCTTCTACATGTATTTTACACACGTGATGTTTGAACGCACCTTCTGCTGCATCATCGCTCAGGCCCCTGAAACGAGGCACGCTGTGTTGATGCCATTGTAATGTACCGGACTGTCACATGCCAATCATTGAGACAAACAATCCAGCCACGCGCAGCAGACTATGTGCATGTGTCCATGTCCCATGGGGGGGGTGTACGGTGTATATACAGGAGTCTGTTTCATGAAGAGCCATGAAAACAAAGCCAACCGTGACACTTTGTGCAGAACTGAAACGGAAGAAGAAGAATGTGAGGCCGGATGTGTTCTTAAGCGTTTACTGATTTATGATGTTATTTTGGGCTCGGCTACATTTTTGATGCTTTGAATTTGTCAAGTTTAATACTGAACAAAAACTAGGTCTATCTAACTTTGCTGTATGTAACTCATGAGGCCCTTTGGCACTGCATTATTCATATAAACGGTAAAGTTGAACCCGTTGCCAGACCAAAGTGCCTCACATGAAACAGTGCACTGTTGAGCTTTACCTGATGTAATCAAATCTCGCTTCACTGTCTGAGCCTAAAAGCTTTACACCCAACGGTAAAGTCAGAAGCATCACGTCTCCAAACTAAACAAATGACGGAGTGAACTTTTGAACCCAAATCTCAATGCCACACTTTGAATTGTGCTTTACAACCATAATCTCATAATAGAGCTGGTTACATTTGAGGATGTTAGTAAAAAAAAAAAAAAAAAGGACAGTTTTTAAAATAAATACTAAAGACGTTGGGGAGGAACTGCTCCTAAAAGGTTTTATGTCATCCCTAATCTCCTGTGCGATGCAGAGACTTTAAGACAGGTGAGAAACTGATTCACTAATCTTTCTTTTTGGTCAGATTTTACCTCCATGCATTTGTAAAAGAAGAAGCCATTTGTATTGCCTGGTGTTATTGGGAATAGCACCAGCTACCCAGAGCTGCAGAGGAAACACTTCTTCTGGTGAGTTACTGGCTTAGCGGCAGACATCAGCACAGACAGGGAGGCCGTACACTTGATGCAGCCTCCTTCTCTACTTGAAAATCTAAAGATCATTGCCCTTTTTTTTTTATTTTATTTTTTTTTAGGGAAAATTAAGTGGCTCCTCTACGCTTCCTTTTACATGCTGCGTGTATTTTTGCCAAACCAGATGATTTCTTTCAAAATGTGAAATATAAAAGCAAGCCAATGTGCACAAACATTTCCAGTCTTTGAATTCATTATCTTGATTCAGCAGATCCCAATGCTCACATGCAGCTAAAAAGTAAAGGCAGCGGCGCTTTGTCTCAATGAGACAAACACTTCCCTGGACAGGATGAAACTGGAGACTTGTGATCTCAACCTGTTGCCTTTAATCAATTCAAAAAAGCATTTCTGAATTAAATAGTTTCCGGCATTGGCTATCCTCATATCTCCAGTAAACACCTATTTAGCTTATTGACTGAGTGGAGATCAAAGATGAATGTGTTCTCTGGATCAACGCCAAACTCCTGCTCGCCGAGACTAACAGTCTGTATAATAAATTGCAGAGTCACATGAATCAACTAAATGATGGAAGTCGTCTAAACCGTCAAGCAGTTTGTCACTGAGTGTCTAAACAGATTTTCTTGACTCTGTCCCCAGTCTCACTGAAATGACTTGGGGCTTTAACTGTAGTTCACCTGTTAGTGACACACAAACACAGATCCATACGTCGTCCGGTGTCACTGTGGTTTTCAGAAAGCGCTTTTTTATATATCGGTGGGAGTTAGCATAGCGATGTGGCAGACGATGCAGTGCAGGCGGACGTGTTCAATGACACTTTGGTGTGGAGGAAGCTGAAGGAGATGTGATCTGATTAAGAGTGTTAAGAAATGTGAAGCTAAATAAATGGAAAGGCCCTGTGTTGTTATTCTGCCAGACAAACAAAGCTCCAGGTAGGAAAAATACCAAAATCAATCTTTATTTATCCACTGAGTGTCTAGATCAGAAATCATAAAACCAAAACTATACCATTGACTGAAAATATTTTCCTTGATCTAAAAAGTTTTTAATCTTAAAAGTTTTTTTAAAAAACGCTTTGAGTTATTGTGATGAAGTATTTGAAAACTAGAGGAACAGATAACGACTCGCTATTTTTAAAATCATAAAACTTTATTATTTCTCCACATAATCAGAACAGTGGGATCTCCACAGACATTGATCAGAAACCCTTTATCATTGCATTACTTTGCATCCGAGTTAATCAGATATTGATACTGTGTATCAAAAAAGAAGCTAACAATACTAGATATTTGGAATATTTTCCCTTTAAATTCGCTCTAATCGCATTACGGTTCATATTTCCCTTTCTCATCGTTCCTCTCTGCCGTCTCTTCCAATTTCTCCCTCGTTCTGTGTCTTCCTCTGTGCGTCGGTATGCCGGTTAGTTGTTCCTGGTAGAGTGAAGCGGCTGCATTATATAGATGCATTATTGATGCACGCGGCACTCTGACTAAAAGACACACACACACACGTTCAGAAACACCACTCACTTGCATAATCAAAACATGCAAACACTCATAGAATCAAGCACATCGGTGCACATAGACATTCATTCAGTACGCTACCACACAGAGCATGTGCCTCAATTTGTTTTTGAATGTGAGGGAGTACAGGGGGGGGAGAAGAGCAGCGCATGCGCACACTGTTACGTTACAGCTGAGAGGACCCAGCTGTTTGTACAAAGCCTGTTTTAAGAAGAAGTCATTGCACAAGACTAACATGGTCGCACTATTGCCAACCACATGCGGAGCTTTCCTTTCTGAAGGATGGATGTTCAGAGAGAAAGGCAACAGAAAATACGTGAGGTAATAATGATGAAAGAAAAAAAAAGTAATGAAGGGCAAGAGTTCCCAGCTCCTCTTTTCCCGTGGCTTTGTAAGGGCCTCATTAAATATGGATGCTGTTTGGAGCAGAGCAGGGGCGAGTGGGACTCCGCAAAACAGAACGAGCAGCTCCGGCAAGCCCGTCCTGCGGAGACGGAGCCCAGCTGTCTGTCTCTTCTCCCCCCCGCCTCCCACCATCTCTTCACTTGATTGTTGTCCGGCCTCGTTCCCCCTATATTCATTTCCTCTCTTACAACCTCTCTGTCTGCCGTCGTGTGAGTTTTTTTCTCCTCTTCTCCTCCATCTGCTTCAGTCTCCTTTTCCTCCCTTTAACTCCACACTAACAGTGTAAGAAAATATCAAAATGTCCTATGATCGCAGTGCTAAATGGCCACTTTTCGCGCAGCGATTCGTAGCAGACGCTCCGATGTAGGACGTTACAACGGACGGGGCCGCTGCAGGTCCCGCGGCAACACCGACCCAGTCTTTCTGTCCATGTGCCGTCCATCAATGGGACTCTTTTCCGATACGCAGGGGATTCAGACCACATCAATCTAACGCACCCCACGGCGCGCCACTCTTCGCCCTGAATAGTGCTTCGGTTTCTGCCTCCAGGAGAAGAAGACACGTCCCGCTGGTCGTCTTCAGCAGAGTGATGGACGGAGGGAGAGCAGAGCGCGACTGTGACCGGGCCCTTCATGGAGGCCTGATACCCGGGGCGGACAGCAGGTGTGTGATTCTCATCTTTTCGCCCCGTTTCATTGCATACAAAATGTGCCACAGACTTTGTTTGCACGCATGTGCACAAAAAAGAAGGTGACAAGATTAAAGGATTGAAAGAGTGGGATAAGGAGAGGGTGAGACATAGGAAGGTGAGATGTGGACCGCCGAATGGGTTTGATGGTGACAGTCTGTTGCCCTACAGTGACCTGAGAGGTTGAGGTGAAGCTCAGTCTAATCCGGCTCAGCGGGTGTGACGCACAAACTCCCTGCAGACACACACAGTAATCCATTTGCCTGCCGTGTGTGTGCATTCAGAGCTGGGTGCAAAAATTGGTTATTAACTTATGCATGATAATGTAAAATTAGATTGTCATTCAACATAACCATAAAGACGGTAATTTGGATACTTTGGGAAGCGCTTTACAGATTAGTATTTGAATAAAACGGTTATGTCATTGATCAAAACGTCACTTAGGTCGCATTACTTTTACCATGAAAAAGTATTTCCTTAATGTGTTAAAGTTAGACTTTTCACACAAATTCACATTTGTCACAGAGAGAAAGCAGGTGATGGCAGATATTGAGCGCCTGTGTCTGTGCAGCAGTGTTTTCCCTGCCCATCCCTGGCATCAGCCTTAAAGGAAACGACCATCCTAAAAACACCTCAAGGCTGTGAGATGGTATTTCTCGCCGTCATAATATGGAGTTAAGGGAAAAGATGTTTTTAGATTTTGAAGAAGAGGCGATCAATTTGTCTTTGTTGACCATGTGATTGATTGTGCAGAGGGTTAATATAAACAAGAGCACAGAGCCTCAGTGGACCGCCCTTGTTTGCTCGCTGATGATATTCCACGGTTGAATCAGGTTTTCATCAAAGAGATGTGCACATGCATCTGTATATCAGCCAATAGAAACGCCCCATCCTCTGAAATGAACTGATTGGACAAAGTCTCCCTTCGTGGGCTGCATTTCATGAAGGCTGAAAGCAGAGCGCAGATTTCTCTCCGCTATTTAAATAAAATTCTGAAATGCGTTTGCCCAATGACGGCAAAAACACTTCCTTTCACTTCACTATCAATCCATTTTTTTTTCTGCAAATACGTTATTCTCTAAATCGTTGTAAATGGTGAATAACAAAACTGTCACAGTTTAAGACTGCGTTAGGACTCAAGAGCGACAGACACTGTAGATGATGAAATGGAAAAACGGACGGTTCTTTATCAGTCACCAAAAGTAATAAACAAAATAACTCAGAGACTCCAACCGGGTGCGAGCTAAAATCAACATCAGGGCAAAATCATAAGTCAACAAAGAACCACGAGGGCTCGGCACGGGAGACACAACGCGCACAATGGGAAGAACAAATGGACAAGAGGAGCGGGACACACAGGGGAGTTTATATGAGTGGGGTGATGAGACAACTGGAGGCAGCTGGGTGGACCGGGCAGGTGCGTAGGATGAGTGCAATCAGGAGAAACACACGCGCAGATAGAAAGAGACGTGATGAGACTAAGGAGACGTTATAAAAATGCTGCATTTAACTCGAGGAGACTTGACATGTCCAGACTGTGTGGACACAATAACACGCCTATGAACACGACGCTGTGAATGACGTGCGCATTCGCATCTTAATCACATTTAATAGAATCAGACTTTGTCGTAACTAAATTAAATGGATGGAATTATATGGTTGAAAAACAACATGGTGTCAAAATATAATATGATAAAATGACATTCAATTAAACGACTTACTATATAATGAATAAGCGACCAATTGTTAACGTTTAATGCACGTAAAAAAATATGAGAACATTTTGGCTATTTTTTTTTAACATGTTAATGTGATCTATTCAGACGAAAAGAATCTCTAAATGATCTTATCAATGTACTTGTTGGAACAAGAAAGCAAAACAACATGTCCGTCTATAAACATTTATTTACTAGCAAAGGCCAGGGTTAGGGTGTTTCTAGCGATCCCGGATAGGCGTGTTGGACCGCGCGGTCCTGCTCCCAAAATTACGGCAATAAACTTAAGAAAAGAAAAAAGTAATTCACATCCCATTAATGTTCTTCAGAGAAACCCGCTCTGTGGCTTCCTCTACCAGACACAGAGATAATACTTACGTCGAGCAGATTGTCCGTTTGAAACATTTCAGAGCCAAACCAACGCGTGTTTTGTGTTTTTCCCATCGGGTTTGGTTCGTGTAGGTCGGTTCATCTAAACAATTGGATGGACTGAGACTGAATCAAAGGGGACCTCTCAATACCTCGATGTTGGTATAGTTCAATTTCTGGTTTCAATGCAACTCTGAAACAAAGGGGACCTCTCAATACCTCGATGTTGGTATAGTTCCATTTCTGGTTTCAATGCAACTCTGAAACAATGGTAAAATCGTGGGAAGGAGCGCACTTTTTGTTGCTGCTAATCAACTTTTTGGGAAAGACTGTTGGCAAGTTATCCATTACGTTTTGATGAATATGAATTGTTAACCATGCGTAGGCACATCAACATGAATCAACTACTACAGAACAACATGTTTGTTGTTCCCACCAGTTTCTAGCTGTCTGTCATTATTTATCACATATGTGGTCCATTTGCTGCGGCAGACAAATGACTGTAAACCATCTACTTTGGCACTTTGTGACCCTAGAGGAGATAGGAGGTATAAGACGGTGTTCAGTCTCTTGTTTTCTGCCGTAGAGTCACAGTTCTACATTATACATTCACATGAATACAGATCTCTATGTGACCTACATAAGTAGACAAGAGCCTCAGCAAGGAGATTGTCTATTTATATAGAATTATTCTTAATGCTCCACTTCGGTGTGAATCAATGCAATCTCAGACAAAATTGTGCATGTTCAGCAGAAAGCCCATTCAGCAGCAGCCGGCCCACAGCGGGTAAAATATATATAACTATGACTAAACAAGTAGAGAATGTTGTTGTTATTATTATTATTATTATTTCCAACAGTCGGTCATGAATGCACCCAGAATATTCATGAAAATCTTCAGGCTGAGAATTGCAATCTCGTGTTGTGGTTAAAGGGAAGTGCAGTATAGCAATCCCAGCAGCCTCTAATGTGAGACCTTAAAAAATATATGCCCACATTTCCTGTCATCTCATATCTTGAACGCTGCGGTTGCAGAGCAGGAACTGCGTGCCCTCTCAACACAATTGGAACACAGTGGGTTGGATCAGTGGACGACTTGGCCTGTGCTTCATAAGTGTAGTCAATCAAAGCCCCTTTCCAAGGGAAACATGTTTATGGGATTAAAGGGGATTAGATGTCTATAAAGGCTTCATCATGTTTTTCTAAATGACGTGTGTTTGGCCGCAGTCCATCCCTCATCCTTCTAGAAAAGTGCATCTCCGATTTCAGAGCTTCAAATAACGCTTCTTCACATCTGTGTATGTATAGATTTCCCGTGTGCAATGACCCTGCCGGTGAGCTGGTTGGCTCAATCGGACCCTGACAAGCCGAGGTATATTTCTGTGTCTCTGTAACCCGAGACGCGACGCGCTGTAAGCGAAGCAAGCGGGCAGAGTGAGCTATGCCAGAGGAGAGAGAGACGGCGGGGGGAAGCGGGAGAGGGATGTTCACAAACAGATGGATGGATAATGTGCTTATGACTCAAGATCCCCCACTGCTGTCTGGGTGTGTCACTGGCCACTTCCTTCATTAACACTTCCTCCTCTCTTACCTTGTGTCATTCAGTTGTCACATCGTACAGTCGCCGACAACGACGCGTGGGACACGCACCACTTTTGTATTTGTTCTTCAGATACCAAACTCTCCCTTCCCCCTCCTCTTGTTTCCTCTAATGGACGATGCTAAAGCCCATTAACAGCCATGTCCGTCTGGGGAAGAACCCCCCCCCCCCCCCCCTTGTCGGCTCTCTGAGGGACACAAACCGAAACACTGGGAACATTCATACATTAATTCCATCCATCTATGAGATTATTCTATAAACTGCTTTCACCTGTCATCTCCCCGTCCATTCATCACTCTTGCGTCAGCCTTGATATTAGGTGATTACTTTAATACTGTAAATTATTAATTTGATGCTTTTTAAATCCGTCATGCGTCAAAGGTGTCGGGTTTCCGCTCCCCGGCGATGATGTAAGGGGGGCTAATGGCTAACGGTTAATGACCGAGTCTGTGGCCCAATCCCCCTGAACCCTGAACCCTGATCCCTGATCCCTCAGGGACTTAAGTGACGTCACCTGGTAAGTGGTTGAGTGTGTGAGTCCGAGGGCTTGTAATGGTGTAAATATCAATATGATGTACATCATATATACTTTATTCCGTCATTTCAACCTCCTCCAGCCTCATGAATGAGAGTTGATCAATGACATAATGTAATATTTCATAAATAAATAAGTAAACATTTTTTGATGTTTTTTCGTTCCTTCTTTAATCATTAATGTCTCTGTGTAAATGGAATATGACGAGCTGAATTTTTTTTACGTTTCCATACTTTAACTGCTTATCCCGTGTTTAACGGCACATTGCAATGACTTGTGGGTAATTCCATTTGGCAAAGTCAGCATCTAAAAAATGGGTTCATAAAGGGCACGAGAAGTCTGTCAGAGAGGCTCAAACACTCGTCAGTGTGACAGGAATAAACCCTCACGCAGTTAGCGGGAGCAAGAAGTCAGTGAGAGGAAGAATTTGAGTTAGTTAACTAAATAAACCCATGAAGGCTGGTTAGCAGTAAAGCACTAACTAAAGTCATAAAAGAACAAACAATGTTTTTGTTTTTTGACTGATCCGTCCCATAAAAGACACATTTAAATGTACAGATCACACAACTCTGTATTTACACAACAAAATTGTCAAAATGTATAATTATTTTTTAAGCAAAAGGCGAAATCTTTTGTTTTCAGCTTCCTAAATGCCATGATTTTATTATTTTTTCCATATAGAACGTGTCATTGTGAATTGGATATCGTTGTCTATCAGACTGTCTACTGTTTGAATAACATGGGCTCTGAACCAATATATATATATATATTGTATGGGCCTTTATTGGTTTTCAGCAACGCTTCATATTCAAAGTGATTAATAGCTCGAAGGCACCAGACGCGACCCGTGTCCATTTACATCCATCCTACCAGCCACGGAGCCTCGCCTCACTCTTTTATGATGACCATCTGCCTCACAGCAAACACAACAGGGACCCATTTAAAAGAGACACCACCATTATTGATAATTAAGAATTATCGAAATCGATGTTCACACAGACTAGAATGCAACAGGCAAATGGCCCATAAGTCGGGCTTAGAGACCATTAGGCTGCATAAAGTGACATCATTGTTGCCCTCGGCCCATCAGAGACATGAAAGCAAAGCAGAGTGCAAGTCTGTAGAAGTGCATTGTTACAAACTTCCCGTTCTGTTTTCAAAAGATCTCATGAGCCAGATGTTGCAGTCTTGTGAAAACACTGGTTATATAAACATTTCCACTGTATGTCTAACCCCTTTGAACTTGCCCCCCCGGTAGGTAAATGGAGGTGCAGGACAGGAGCCGCTCCCCATCCCGTAGAACCAGCCGGGTGGAGCAGGTTGTGGGACGATGGCTGAGACGGTCCCGAGACCTGGGCAGCAGGTCTCACTCTCTGAACAGGTACACCTCATGCTTATTGATCTCCACAGGAAATCCACAGCACTCTAGTCTGTTGTATCTATACGTCTTATAAAGGAGTGAGGAGGTAGAATTGTGAACGAATCCTTTTTAGTTTTTGGATGTGTGTCCACCTGCTCTTCTCCAGAGACCGGGTTGCATTGGATGGGAGGTCAGCAGAGTGCAGCGGCTTCGATCAGAGGAACTACCCTTTCCGCTTCATCGTCCAGATCCAACGGGACCCGAACCTCAACTCTCATGGCCTCACACTGTCCGCGCAGACCCCCATCCTGGTGCAGGAGGTAAACCCAGGTACGACGAGACGCAGGAAATGTACACGGGGAAGAGGCACAAGGAAAAGATAAAAGATAAAAAGGATAGTTATTGCCCGATAAGAGCCTCTCTTCACTCTAGTGCCTGTTTGGAGGTAGCAGTTGTTAATGCACAACTCTGGAGTTATAATCAAGGTCAACACGTACAAACCTTGTTGTCTTCTGCTAATGAGCGGCTGGAATAAGGTACTTCTCCCATTGTGGGAGTTTGATTTCATGGCTGACACAGCATGTTTAGGTGAACCAAGCCATGTCTGGTTGGTACCGCTTATCCTCCCCAACACCAGCTTAGACCTCTTCCAACATCACATTTTAGGTGCCAGTTTTCATTTTCCAACCACTGCCGCTGTTCAAATGACTACTGTATCAAAAGCTAAGCCGTGTTGCATATAACTCACACGTAATACATTGATATACGTTGATATATGCTATAACGCGATGGATTCATTGAAGTGCGTGCAACATTTACATATGATTTGACTGCCGGATCCACCAATGCCATAACTGATAGAAGGGTGTTAAAATCAATAGAAATGTATGCTGTTCTTTTAGGAACAGATTTTTTTCCTCCCCTTTCGCCCGGTTGTTTCTTTTTCTGTAAGTCTCCTCTGCAGATGTAATAACGGAGCTGAGCCAGAGCTCTGCAGGCCTCTGGCCAGTGCTTGAGACCAGCTGTAAAACTGCATGCTGGCACACAAAATTACATTTGCAAAAGAAAGCATATATGTGTGTCTGTGTGAGGCATCTTCAGCATTATCGGGAGGCAAAAACAAAACCAGCGCTTTGGAAGCAGAACTCTTTTTCATCCTTTATCGAGGCTGTCAGGCAGCACTTCCTCTGATAGGCTCTATACTGCGCCAAGAACCTCTTACAGTCAAAAGCCAAATGCACTTTCTGTTGGGTAGGATTAGGGTCTGATCCGGGACTCAGTGATATGCACACAGCTGAAGGTTTCCCTTTGGAAGCTTTACTCAGAGGTAGCTAAATGACTTTACCTGGGCAAAAAGGGTGAGGCAGCGCCTGTGGGTGGACATGTCATCTCATAGCACAGCCCATCCTACTGAAAAACTATGTAGAACTGTGATATTTTTATTTTTATGTCTATTCTATATGATATATTAGTGGCAAAAGCAACCAAAAAAAGGGTTTTGAAGTAGTATTATACTTATAGCTAAAAATAGCCGAGCTTCCAGCTGATGGTCTTGTTTACTTGTGTAGATTATATTGAGACTGTTTCACAAACAGCTTAAAGCTAATCAGTACCTTCAGATAAACAAAAACCAAATGGGTTGACATTGTTCCAACAGTATCAATGAATGAGAAACAGTGCTCGCACTATTTATGCATCCTGTTCCAATGCTGGACTGTATAGCCATATACTGTGTTTGTAAAGTCCCTACTGCAAATGACAATGACTTGGACTTTACATTCTAAAATATATAGGGTACTTAAATCTAAAAATGTGTGTTTTTCACAAAGACTGTGTGCCGAAAAAGAAAAGTGTAAGTGCTGCGAAGTGCTTGCAACCCCCCTCCCCCCCTAGAAAAAAGCTTCTCAATTTCTCTATAATCATCTGCCTGAAATGAAACATTCACATTAGTCATTAAATAAATGAGGTATATTATATTCAGACAAAAAGTGTACACAGAAGTGCATTTCGCTGTTGAGGCACAAGGATCTCGATCCCCCTGAGGGGAAGGGGCAGATTACCTCGCCCTTGCCTGTCTGGCTCATTCTGCTCCGTCACCATCTGCTTCTACCTGTCATACACACACCACACACACACACAAACACACACATTCTTTTTGCTCATGTCTCCAGTGGCCCTTGTAAGCCTTGGTTCGATCTTTCCTCTGTCCCTGTCTCTCTGGCACGTGCTATATCATCCTTACAGTCAAATATGAATCCTTGATTTAAAAGCATTTCCAGAGCGGACGGTGTCACCTGCACCTCCTGTGTGTGTGTGTGTGTGTGTGTGTGTGTGTGTGTGTGTGTGTGTGTGTGTGTGTGTGTGTGTGTGTGTGTGTGTGTGTGTGTGTGTGTGTGTGTGTGTGTTCATTCTTGTTGTAACACAAAATACTTGCACCTCACATGACCAGCTCTGTATTGTAAGGTGCCCTGATGCTAAATATGCTGTTGATATTAGTAACAGGAAAATTATGGTACTGTTGTAGTTGACACGGTATTCATTGATGACACAGATTAATGTACAAAATGAATTATTTTTGCCCCCTGATCCTCTTTGTTTTGAGTGGAGCATAAGGCTGCTTCTCTCTGCCTGATCCCGTCTTTGATTTGCAGTTGCAAGGTCAGAGTTTTCCAGCAGGCTGTTTTTCCCTCCCTGGTTTCCCGTCTCCAGACTACCTGTCAAGTTTACTTTGGGAAAGCGGTCTTAAAGGTTTTGTGCATCATTCATGGACAGCATTTGGGCTTTGGAGATATTAACTCGTTATACATATTTTCAAATACAAACACAATAGTGCAAGCTGTATCCAACTTTATTTTCCATGTCACAATGACATAAGCCCACTTGATAGCACTAATTACCACGTAACTATGTATTTAAAATCGCACAAAATACATTGTAAAATTACATTCTCCCCAAAAGCAAAAAAGGACTTTATATTAGATTACTTCCAGGACATTGTAACAGTGTCGTACTCTTTTATCCCTGTGCAAAAACGCATCATAACAATTAACCTAATGTCCTTTATAAAGTGCTTGATGGTAATTGTTATAGAGCATTATGAATTTCTGTGTTGTTATTACATCATTTTACCATACTATTTATAAGCGGATCGTAACGCATTATATGCCTGCTGGTATCACATCATAGATATGGCCGTCATAAAAAGTTCTACCAAACATGTTTACGTGTCTATTCCCGGCTCAAGAGAATCACACACAGAGAAGATTTATCCCCTAATGTAAGCACTTCTGCAGTGACAATAAATAAACATTGACATCGGTGTTAAATAAATATAACGGAGGGATGTACAGTTGTTTGATATTCCCTAAGTGGGATGAACAAGGATTCGATTGCTAGTCTCTCGTTCGGTGTGGAGAGCGGTGTCATCATTTATGCTTCGCCGTCGGATGAAATGAGATCACTAGAATACAAGCGACTGCCTGGCATCACCCTCAGGCATGACAACACAAGGGCGTTTTGTGTGTCCAGGTGGGCCTGCAGATGGTCGGCTCCTCCCCGGCGACCAGCTTGTGAAGATCAATAACATCGCTGTCGATGACCTGACCCCGGAGCAAGCCGCTGAAATAATCAGGTCCGTCTGCTGACAAACACACGTGCACACCCACACCCACACACACACACACACACACACACGGCCGTCGGTGCATACACCGGAGAACGCTCTTTACAAACTTTAATAACCAAGTGTTGTTTTTGTTTTTCAGGGAGTGTCAAGATTCATTGACAATGACGGTGCTGAGAACGATGCTGGTGAGTCCAGCCACAAACACACAGTTACGCTTTCCTGTGAATGATGTCTCATTCCAATTCCAGCAGCATTCAAGGACGACCTTTAGAGCGGCCCTTTTGTAAAAGCATACGGGAGGATGCGGGCTTGCACATGCTTAGACTTGTAGATGTAGTGTGTCTCCATACGCTTGGGATTATAAAATGCTTATCGTCAACAAACCCATCAATTATGATGATATTGAGGATCTGTGCACCGTGTGACCAAATCCCCACCACTACATCAGTGACAACATCCTCCTGAACTCCGATAGACAGACACTCTATCATGATCACAACCTGTGTGTGTGTGTGTGTGTGTTTGTTGTGTGTATGTGTGTGTGTGTAGGTTGCAGATCCCACTCTGTGAAGGGGCCGTGTGTGTGTTTGCACTAAGGTGAAGTAGATCTGTAAATAAGTGGCCGCTCCTCAGTGACGCTCATTAGCGGCTCTGCTGATGGAAGCCTCTTTTTACCATCTGATTCACAGCTCTCATCTCCATCAAGAAATGTATTTTGAGCTTTGGGAAATGCTAGTAATTTCCCAGAAAGTATTCATGCCTGTGCATGTTGATGGTGACAAAACATGGGAGTAATATGCTTTCAATCCAGCATCCACCGCTAAACTGGCTTTGCCATCACGACGGCAACAACATGCTTTCTTACTGAACACCTGTGCATTAATATAAATCTTCGGAGCTTGGACTCTATCCTGCCGGAGGATAAACCGGGGGTTGAGATGCTGAGCTCGGATAGGGCCGCTTTCCCCTTGGAGTGTAGACACGTGGTGGTGGTGGTGGTGGTGAAGGAAGTTGCTGCATTCCTATGCTGAGCATGACACTGCTGCTGAATGGAGGTGTCAGGGGTGATGGAGGGTTGCATTGGGTGCACGCTGAAACTGACCGCAACAGAGAGAGGAACAGTTTGTAAAGTGTGATCGCAACGATACGTTTGGCTCAAGGAAACTGTGCCAACCGCATGGTTGTTTAATTGAACGTGCACGTCCCGAATCAGCTGATTGAGCAACCACAGGGCGAGATGTGATACCCTGATGAATGCCCATGGATATGGAATATTTCCAATCGTTATATCCATGTACGCTCTGTGCAAAGCCTCCGGACTCTACAAAGAGAAACATAAACAGAAAACAGGAGTTGGTGGTGACTTGCTGTCTCGTTTGGTTGGTTTCACCTTGTGCAAGACACAGTCACCAAACTTAAAAGGTGTGAAGTTCCAGTGAAGCCGATCTGACCCGTTTGTTCTGGTTGTGGTGGTCCCTTGACAATATGATCTTTGTTATTCTGTGAATTACGTGGATCCGAGCCAACTGTAGGTAATGGTAACAGATTATCTCATACAACCCGGCTATAAACAATCCAAACTATTGCTTTAATGTGTCTTCTTCTTATTTCCTGTGGTCCAGTATCCATTGTGCACATCCTTCCTGGACAGTGCTTGCACATTTTGTGATTTTAGGTAAATAGTCAGAGCTTATCCTCAGCGTATTGTGTAAACTCGTCATATTTGATAACATGGACATTTTGATTTGATATATAAATGTCAGTAGTTATATTGACGCTGGCAAAACGACTTTCACTGTAAGTCTGCAACCTGCCTTAGAGGTCAACCAAAGAATCAAACTATTCCATAGCAGAAATGTGTTTGGTTACATCTCTGTGTGCGTGCAAAAGCAACAGGCTGCGTGTCTTCATTTCCCCTTGTGTCTATATCTATAGATATAAATATATACCGCTTCATCTGTAAATTATCATCTGAACATTCTAAGTTTGAAAAGAAATACTGCAACAAGCTGATTTGGTGATTTGTGTCCAGGGCCCAAAGTCATCATTCATCACACCAGAGAAGAGGGCCAAGCTACGGTCTAACCCGGTGAAAGTTCACTTTGCTGAGGAGGTTGAAGTCAATGGACACTCTCAGGTAAGTGAGAGAACATGCGAGCATGGATCTTGCTGTGGACAGGTAGAAAAAAACGTTAACGTTAAAGATGTCCGTGGGTCCTACTTTTATTTTCCTTTTTTTATCTCACTCACACACACATGACTAGATATGCTGCAATGAAAGCAAGGACGTTGAAGAAGCTAATAAACCTGGATGTAAACAATGGTGGCTTTTAAAGTCGGCTGCTGTGGTGTAAAATGAGATTAATTATTACTAATTGTGCATTTATTATTATTAGTTGTGCCAGGAGGGGTGTATTTGTAGGGTATTCTCTGATAAGCCTGGCTCTGCGTGCTCAGAGTTCCCATCCTGCCAGCGGATGTGGAATTAGCTGCATGAGGAAAACCACAGAAGCTAGAGTGGCCATCACTAATCACAGAGAAAACACGGGTCGATATCTGCCTCATTCTCCAGTCCTAATGTCTGTGATTACAGGACAATAAGCATCGGGAAGGGAAAAGGGTAGAGAACAAAGGGTGGGGGTAGATGGGAGGGGGGGGGCAACGGAGGAGTTGTTTAAAATTTGAAAGCTCTCCATTAAACTTCAAAACATACAGACATTAATTTTGCAGTAGAGCTCAGTGTCAATGCAGAAGAACGGTTAAGATGACTCACCACAGCAAACAGGCCGAACACACAGAAACAAGCACGATGAGGAGCAGAAACTCTGGAAAAAGAGCAGAAAATAAGGCAAAGCTTATCTTTCTCTACGTTTGAATTGTTTTTTTGACATACAATTTTATTTTTTTGTAGGTACAAATGCAGAAGAGAATTCAATTATAATAACAGGGAATCATATTATTGGAGGCATTTCCATGCAGCTGTTTTTATTCCACCAATTATTAAAAGCTAAATGTATCAATGTGCCTGGAACACACATGTAAGATATATCATGCGTATTATGAGGCCTGAGCTTCATAAGTAGCACCAGAGAAAACACGGATCTGTGTGCAGCGATGAAGACTGCAAAAATGCTGACATTAATACATGAAGCTCGAAGCATTATCTTGAAATCCACAATTGGAGGATTAGCGATATTATTTTCATGACAGCAGAGTGAAACACATCATTATTTTGTTAATATCCTGGGAATTTGATTCAGATCTGTCCTACATTTTTGACCATATATTGATATTGAAGGGTATATTACTGTCACAAACAAGGGACAGGAGACAGCCGTGAGGTGAATTAGATGGTTTATTGACACTATAATGGAAGCAGACGGAGATTTGAGGAATAGGCAGGCAGAAGATCAGGATGGGACGTTAACAGGAGGGTAGTCAGAGTTCCCGGTTACGGACTGGAGGAGACTATCTTGGATCGGCCAGTAGGGATTTCAGGAACGTAGCTTGGAGTCTGTGGAGTCCTGTAGAGACGAGACCAGACGCTGAGTGTGTGAAGAGGAGCCAAATATTAAGGGAGGTGAGCTGATGAGGTGCAGGTGACGATGATTAGAATTCAGGGGACTGAACGAGTGGGGGGAGTGATTGAAGCTGGCGGGATCCTGACAATTACACACATTTCTTTTGTCTCAATCCGCAATGTATCAAGCAACATTTTCGGCAAGGTAAATTTCGCAATATATAAAAATATTTTCATCTGCTGTAGAAGTACACAGTAAGTGAGAAGATAAGTAGTATACAGTTAAATGGCCTATTTTTCACCGCTCCTGGGTTACATTTGTGTGCAATGACTTCAATCGACCATTCGAATAAATCCATAGCTGTTTGGGGGCCCTTTTTAGATGGAGGACACAGGCCTTCATCTAAAAGGGCCCCCAAAAGCACAGTGTTGAGTGTTAAGTTGTTTGTATGATCAGGCCTGGTGAACAGGAACGATGCTAACGGACTCTGCACGAGACCGAATAAACCTGCTGTCCGATTCAAACACAGAGACACAAACTGCTTTCTCGCCTTAACTCCATCTCATCTCAAGCTGGACGGCTGTTACGGCTGAAGCACCTGAAGTTTTACAACGCTTGCAGTACCATTGACCTTTGACCCCATGTCTGCTTTGCAGGGCAACTCGCTGCTCTTCCTGCCGAATGTTCTGAAGGTGTATCTGGAGAACGGGCAGACCAAGGCCTTTAAATTTGACCCCAGCACCACAGTCAAGGTACAAAGTAGTGAAACAGAACCGTGTTGATATTTTTTTCTTATTATAATTTTGTATACCGTATTCTATAAATAAAGTTCAGAAATGAAGTGGAGGTATTTTCTTTGATACTTAATACTTAATAACTAAAATTATTATTTTACCTTGATGAAGTTGCGCAAAGTCTGCAGTAAAGCTTTGTATTAAAATATAACTATATAACATCAATTATATTAAATGTACGGTCCAATTATTAAAAACAAACTCCGTTATTATCCGTATAATATAAACTTTGCACCCGTTTCCTTGATTCGCCAACTACTCAGAGCTTATCTTGCTCTATTGAGACCTACAACCCTCAGATTAGCTCACCTCAGCAATTATGTTTCCTGATGTCTTCAAATATTGTCTCACAAGAGGTAATGTTCTTCTCTGTGCATCAGGACATTGTGATGACTCTCAAGGAAAAGCTTTCTCTGAGCCGTATTGAACACTTCTCCCTGGTGCTGGAGCAGCGGCACAGCATTTCCAAACTACTGCTGCTACATGAAGAGGAGCGGATACAGCAGGTACACACACACACACACACACACACACACACTAATAACTTGTGCATTACTTATATCTACATCTGCAATGAGCACTTAATCTCCATCTGAGAGTGAGTTTAATCCGTGACTATGACAGTGCATGTAACTGAATTCAAAGACATACATTTGAGGCACTGTGTGTTTTTCTGTGTTCAGGTGGTCCAGAAGAAGGAGGCCCATGACTTCAGATGTCTTTTCCGTGTTTGTTTCATGCCCAGAACCCTGCAGACGCTGCTACAGGAGGACCCAACATCCTTTGAGTATCTCTACCTGCAGGTAGATCTCCAAGCGGAGTCTTCATAACACAAATCTGTTGTGATCATTTGTACCCTTCAGTGAAGTTGTATGAGCCCTCTGAAAAGTCCAGTTATTGTTGCATTGACACATTTCACCTTAATATAAATCAAATCAAAGTTGTATTTCGTCTCTGTAACAAAGACCATTTCCATTCCATGGTTCAGCTCGTGTCGACTCACTTTTGGAACCAGCGACATCGTCGTTTATGCGACACTTGTTGAAGCACAGTTTTGCAGGCCAGTGGTGGTTTGGCTATTTAAAAATGGCGGGTTTGTCTGAATTAGGCTGCCCAATGATGCTCTCTGATCAATAAGTGGTCTAGATTGTTTTAACTCAATTTTAAAGTATCTGCCCCCCTGGTATCGCAGACAGTAGTAGGTACCAGGTGCTATTCACAACCTTTGTTAATGGAAAAAAGTTTAGCCATGCTGCTCCATGCAATCAAGTAGTATAAACCTAAATACTGCAAATGAGACGTGCCAAATTAAATGACATGTTTATTTCTGGTTTTGTGTCTGTATTTCACCACTTGTACCTTTTTGTTTGCATTAGGGAGTGAACGATGTGCTGCAGGAGCGCTTTGCAATAGAAATGAGGTGTAACTCCGCCCTGCGACTCGCTGCGCTGCACATTCAGGAGAGATTGGCAAGCTGTGGACAGTCAACAAAGACCAACTTAAAGACAATCACGTGAGAGACACACGCACAGTTTAAATTATAGAACAAGTGGTGGTTTTACCTTTTTGGCGGGACGTCGTTTTGAGAGCATCAAATTAGTGAGCATATCAAGATTGGAAATTATTTAATCTTCAAGAAAGTGTTTGAAATGGTATTCCAATCCCATTGATCTTTAATTTCCACATCTCGAATGCAGTTTCATCTTTCTAACGGTCTGAGACTCAGTCTGTGTTCCTGTGTTTGCTCCAGGAAGACGTGGGGCATAGAGAACTTTGTGTCATCCACCTTGTTGAGGAACATGCGAGAGAAAGATCTAAGGAAGGCCATCGGCTACCACATGAAGAAGAGCCAATCTCTGAACGACCCCAAACAGAAGGGTCTGTCGGTGGATCAGACCCGGGTAAACTACCTGGAGGAGCTGAGTGAGCTCAAGTCCTTTGGAGGGAAATCTTTCAGTGCCACCATGATGGTAGGGCTTCAAAGTATCTGCTGTAGATTCTTTGGTGAGTGCTGGTTGAGTTTCAATCTCCTCATTGTCTATGATGTATATCTGTTCAACCGCCCTGCAGCTTCAGGACAGGGAGTCGATGGTGACCTTGTTGGTGGGGGCGCGCTACGGCGTGAGTCAGGTGGTCAACCACAAACTGAGCATCCTGTCGACCCTCACAGAGTTCAGCAGCATCACACGCATCGAGCTGCTGCCTGAGTCCGACAAGGTCAGCCTGGTCAAAATATACCTGCAGGACATCAAGGTAAGAGCAAGAAAAACTCTCCCTAATTGACAGAGCAAAGACTTTTACTTTGAAGTAACTGAATCAGCATTACAAGCATGACTACAAAGGTGGGTTGTATTAGATTGTGTACTAATTCACATTATTTGTTCCCCTTTTGTTGGGGCAATTTGATGCACCTGCAGGCAGGTCACAGGAGATGTATCTTCTTTCTGGAAGTCTAAATTTACACATCAAAAAGCCTATTTAGTTTAAAAGGACATTTTATCCCAAATAAAAATATAGATTTTCCCTTTTACCCGTAGTGATGAATAAAACTTGAATATTATGGGACACTAGCGTTCCAAAATAACTCACTTCACTTAGCAGAAGGAAGGAATCAGCTGTACTTGATACTGCTAACTCACATTGCTATGATAAAGATAATGTTGAAACTCTAAGGAGGAGGATGCCATCGATATTTACATCTCGCTCTGTCACATGATCGACCCCCTCGTCAATGAGTAGATCAGCGCCTCCTCCTGCGCGGCAGAAAGAAAAGACTTTCCTACATGACACTTCTCAAGACAAGCGTCAAAATTTCTTGGAGGATACATTGCTTTGAGTTTCACAAATGCATTATTGTGGTGCTTGAGTGCTATATAGTTTCACTGTGTTTAAGAAAAGCCAAAAATAAGCAAACTGATGAATGAATCTAGATTGATTAATAGCACTACAGGTGGAATGCAAAATCTTTTATTTAGTTTAGCATTTAACTTAACATATAGATGTGGATTTTAGGTTATGTTATGCACCCCCTGCTGTAAAAAATGTCTAGACTTTAGCGTTCAAAGCTATTTGCTATTTCATTATGTTCATGCTCCTTTTGGATTCAACAGGATATGTGATGAGTGTTTTTCCACTCCTGAAATTGACGTTACATCCCTGTACTTTCCTCGTCTCGTCTCATATCGTCTTGTCTCCTCTCTCATACGAAGCCCATCACGTTGCTGTTGGAGTCAACGGCCGCCAAAGACATGTCCTGCCTAATCGGTGGTTATTGTCGAGTGTTTGTCGACCCCAACCTCAACGTCTTTCCCTGGATGCATAACTCCAAGAAGCATAGAGTGTCTGCTGAGGAAGGTACACATGCGCAGTAGTAATCAGCCACAAAATTTGTCAATACGTTCAAAGTCTCACACCGGTACGTTCCATGTTCCCAGGTTATGTGTCACGATGCGGCAGCGACTCAGACACCTCCTCAGACTTGGACATGGAGGCGCTGGTCAACCTGGTGTCATGTGACGAGAGGCCCGGCCATCGCGTCAGATCCTCGTCGGACCCGGAGGGAAGAAAACGAAAAGATCGAAACAGAAGGAGAAACAAGGACGGCAAAGAAACGGGAGCTAAACCTTGGGAGGATAAAAAGCAGAAGGAAGAGAAAGATGCTGACACGGAAAAGGAGAGGTCTCCCCCGGATAAGAATAGAGCGAGAGAGAGCGAGGGCGCGGTGCACAATGAGGAGACAGAAAGAGGGCAGGACGGTCCGCAAGCTCAGACGGAGATAGCGGACAATGACTCCGGGGAACTTGGGGGAGAAGAAGGACACAAAGGTGGAGACGAAGTGCGAGCAGCAGAGGAGCAGCCGTCTTTATCGGAAGCGTCCGATTCGTGGAACAACGACCCTCGTGTCATCGCCAGCCCCTCCTGCGACTCCCTCGACGCTTTGGAGGAAGATGACTTAATTTCGTGTTCTTCCTCCTCCTTCCACTCCGGTGCTCCCTCACAGATTCACAGCCACTCTCCCGTTCAGCTTCACCCCTACTCTCAATGGCACGTTCAGCCCCACCTCCTCGCCCCTCCGCCGGCTCACGTCCATCCTCTCGTCCACCTCAAATCTCAGGAGAGGCAAGGAGGGGGCGGCAGGAGGTCGGGGGACGGAGCTGATCCCCAGCTCCTGGCGGCGCCGTCCCCCTGTCTAAGCATTCACCGCACCCAGAAATGTTCAGGTGACCACTTCCCCGAAGACAGCTCCATGTGTTTCGCGGAGCTCTCCCGCCTCGTGGACTTCTTGCCGAGCCCTCCGGAGGCCAGCGAGGATGACGAAGAGGAGGAAGAGGTGCGAAGGAGGAGGAAGAGAAAGTCGGCAAGAAGAGCGGGTGAAAGAGGGAGCGTGGACACCGAGGCCAGTCTTAAAGAGCAGCCGACGTCCCCGTCCTCCAACATTGATTTTGTGTTTAACTTCGACCAAAGCGACTCTCGCTGCTACTACAAACTCTGCTCCAACATCACCCCCGACAGTGCCCGCAGCCTCCCCCACCCTCTGAATCATCAGCAGGAAGAACACCGGGGGGAGGGGGAGGAAGAGTCGGTCAAGGCAGTCGACCTGGACCCCATCCCCATCCTTCAGCCGCCACCTGGCTTCGGTGACAGCAGCTCGGATGAGGAGTTCTTTGACGCCATAGACCGCTTCACCTCACCTGAAGACTCTACCTCGGGGGCCACGCCAAGAGGTGATTGGGTTTTCATCTTCAGGCTGATCACATGGAAGTGCAGGCTGTTATTTTGGTGCCATCTGGTGGTTGAACACCAAACACTGGTGGTTTTACTACACAAAAGTGCCAACGTTGCACTAAAGATTAATAAAATGTCATTTTCACAAAGAAGTGGACCACACTTATGACAACTCCAACAGTACCGATGACTGTCTGTACAGATTCACTTTATAGAGCATGTGGAGCTCAATGCAATCAAGCTCTCCAGCCAGAGAAGGGACATGTGTCATGCATCCATTACCCTTGAGTGTTGCAAAGATATTTTTTAGTTACACAATTACACCCAAGAACTGAGCTTAGGTGCGATTTTCAGGTCCTCCCACGTTCTGCTACTTTATAGTTCTACTCTACTGATGGAAATATTATACATTTGACACCAGTAAATGTATTTAACAGATACGTTCACTTTAACGCAAGTTAAAGATTAAACCCAACCATTTTGGCGAGCATGTGACCACGGACAAAAATCTTTGTTCGGATTTGGCCTTTTTCTCAAACATTTTTCTGCCAATAAATTTATTATTATTATTTTATACAGAATTTCTCCCCTAGAATTCCCTAATGGCTTCATTTCTATAGAGGTCAAATCACTAAAAAAACTGACTTTCTTATTGCATGTCAAACTTTAACACATAATGCTCAATGAAGGACTTTTACTAGTTTTTAGATTGTTATTTTAATATTCTTATGAACCAGAATAATTTAACTCATCCAACTAGAACACCGAGGTGGCATTGGTTGTGTTGGGGACGGTAGATCGCCAAAAGTTGAAAAATAGCCTGCAAGACAGAAAAATGTGGGCACTCCTGACTTATGAATAGGATGCTACAGGATTTCAAACAGTGTTTTATAATCTCTCATCTCTCATTATTATGTATCATTGCAATTCATTATTATGATAAAATTAGAATTTTGACTTACACCATTTTCAACACAATATTGCTGAAGCTGAGATTGTTTTACTATGTTGCAGATATTCGCACAGAGATGAAACTGGACCTCCTCAGCACCCTCAGCCTCAGTGACATCAGAGTCTCTGTGACAGATGCAGACAAAGATGGCAAAGAGGAAGAAGACAGAAAAGTAGGAGACGAGGAAGGAGGAGGCAGAGAAACGTTGTTTCAGCTCAGAAAAAGATCCCGTAAGCGTCGTTCCTTCGTGGAAACTGATTACACTTCTAGGGTGTCGTATCCAGAGCCAGATCCTGAAGTGAAGGATATTCTCTCTACTAGGCTTCATAAGAACCTCATGGAAGAAGAAAATGATGCACACGCTCTGAGTTCAGATCCTGAACCTTCAGAGCAAACCCAGAATCCCAGTCCTACAGTCTCTTCTTTGACCCACTCTGAAGGGGAACCGGCTCAGCTTGAGTCAAAACCCATCATGTCTAAATCCCAGTCGCGTAGACCTGGGTCTCCTTGTGGTTTAGGGTCTCCTGAGCAGACCAGAGATCCACTGGCCACCTCCAGAACTAGGAAACAAGAAATGGAGATGGAACCTGACGCAATGGAATTCAAATCAGTCACTGATCTGGCGAAGGCATCGTCTCCTACCATCACCGTTGTCCGCTGCCGGGTGGACCCAGATGGAAAGGAAAGTGCTGATCGGAGGGGTGACGGAAAAGAGGGAGGGCGGGAACAAGAGGACGTGGTTGAGGGGAAAGAGAAGGGCGGCGAGGAACAGACAGTGGGTGTGTTGGGGAAAGGGACGTTCACTAATCATATGTTTTTGCCAGAAAGCACTGAGGAGGAAAGGAAAGGGAAGGAAGAGAAGAAAGAGGGGCTGAGAGGGAACTCATCCAATTCAAAGAGACCAATCATCGGTGCAGAGAGGCAGCTAGAGGCCAATACACCACCTTCGTGTTTGATGGATGCGACTAAAAAGAGGAGTAATGGCCTTTTAGAACCCCATCTCATTGCCCATGAGCAAAACTTGGATGAAGAGGGACAAACGCTTGAAGGTGTGCATGAAAAGTTTAACCCTCCATCATACTCACCACAACCCCCTCCACCCTCATCCCCTCTTCCTACTATGCCAGTGCTTCACAAATCTCAAAGTGACTGTTATTTGAGGGGAGAAGTCAGTGGCGAAAACTTGGGAATGAAAATGTCTTCATCTTATCCCGAAGAGATCCCAGAAAGACACAGTGACAAAGCACAATTATATTTAGACATCCGCGCCAGTATTATTGAGGATGATGCCAACGGTGTTGCTAGCTCTACTAGGACTGTTGGCGATGAAGTTACAGACAGCACCAATTCAGACAATGTTTTTTCTGATGACGACATGAGTAATTCCTTAATTTCTAGTTCAAGTGACAAGAAGGATGAGTGGGCTACAGCTGGTAGGCGAAGCATCAGCTCGGCTACAAGAAGTGACGATGATTCTCAAATGGGTAAGAATTCTCCAACTAACAGTGAAGCTCCTACAATTATTAGTTCAGTAAATTCTGACTATTCGCGAGCTATAAACTCCATCACTGCAAAGCTCGGAGTTGCAACAAGTGCAAAATCTTCTACATTTATTTCAGGTACCAGATTGCGATGTGACGTTACACATGAAATTGCTTCGGGTTTGACTGAAAATGAGGACAAAATCTTAAGTGATTCCACTATGCAAAGTGCTCCAGGCAAAAAAAGCTTGGCTAGTCCTAGCTTAGCGAAGGCTAATGCCGTCACATTACACAATCTTTCCAAGATGCCTCCTTCTCCAACTCACTTCCTCTTCCAGACCTGTTCCCCTGGCATTATGGGTAGCTTATCTTCCTCCACACTCAGGGGGAAGATTCAGAATTTACCCCTTTACTTATCACGCTCACAGGAAACCCTCAACCAAGCTGGGATGGGCAATGTACGTCACAGTTCAGCTGAGGACAACAGTAAGGACAAAGTCAAGACCAAAGTCACCATCAAAGTTACAGACGTTGATGACGTCACACAAACTATAGGCTTTGAAGAGGGCACAGCTTCAGAATCAGCCGAGTCAGACGATTCAGATACAACAGTTACGGGATCTGAGGTAGATGGGGAGTTTTTTGTGGAAATAAACTCTGCAAAGAGTTTTCAGGCACTGTCAGAGGTAAAGGAATTATGCCCTCCATTGCCGGTCCAGACCGATCCCAAACCCCAACCCCAACACCGACATCCGCCTCTCAACACCGGACCTATCAAGGATTCACCAGGACCAATAACAGAGCCTCCAGCCACCACAGTGAACGGCCTCCAAAGAGACCCTTCAGGCCTAAAGATGGACACACCTGGCCCCATAAAAGAAGCCCCAGAATCAAAGATGACTGTCACAAGTCCAGGTGAAGACATTCCAGGTCATATAATTACCACTCAATCACGTGCTATCGCCCATCCGATAGTGGTGACCACACAGAATCTAAATGGACCAGGACCCCCTTTTCATAGTCAAGCACAGAAAGTAAGACGGACCAGTACCGACAGACCGTTGATAGCTCTTTGTAGGCCCACAGGGAAAAATGTAATCTCCCCAAAATCACTTTCTTCAGGCTGCAGGGTGTTTACTATCTGTGAGGATTCATCCCAGACAAAGAGCCCAGCCATGGCGGCTACTACCCCACCCTTGAAACATGATTTTAGCTGTACTTCTGTGCTGGCGTCTGGATGTGAGTCAGTAGTGGAAGAGGTGCAGGTGCCTCTGGAGGCTTGTGGTTGTCCGACGGTCTATACCAACTGCTTCGGCAGCGGGGACAGCTTTGACGAGGAGCTGACAGTCTACGAGTTCTCCTGCCGCGCACAGAGCAGCGCCGTGGCTCAAACTTCTTCTGCAGCAGTTCTTCCTCTCGTAAACTCTCCGCCCATTTCCTCTTTCCTCTCCACCTCCCCCTCCCTCTCTCCCTCCTTCCCACGCTCCAACCTTTTCTCCTCCTCTGCCTCTGAGCTCAGCCCTCTACTCTCGCCGTTATCTGACCCATCCGACCGTTTACTGCCCCAAACGCACAAGGACAACATTGGTCGGCTCGGCCAGCAGCGCTACCCGGAACCCCCGAAAGGTTTCCAGGTACTCCGCATAGACGTAGACCAGCTCCTTTCTATTCTGGAGAGCGGTGCGGACAGATCCGTAGCAGGCCCCGGATGTCGCCACCCAAGGGACTCCTGCCCTGCCCACTTTACCGAGAACAAGAGGGTGCTCCAGCTGGAGGCACGGCGGTTGATGTCGGGCTGCCAGAAGGTGGTGGGAATTGGCCAGAGTCCCGAGGAAATGCTCCATTCCCTGGCGGACAGCTTCCGGACCCTGGTGGAGTTGGCGGGTATATGCCTCTGGTTCTCTGGTTGCGAAAGGTGTGACCGAAGGAACGCAGAGGCCGTGGCCGGTCTGGCGGATGTGGCCCGTTCATTCAGGGACTTCTGCCTGGCAGCAGAGCGGGCCAGCAGCAAGCGCAGCTGCCAGGACCTGAGCTCCAAGCTGCTAGCGAAGCAGTGCACCGCGCTCACCGCCTCCGTCTTCTGCCTCACCCAGCTGTTCCGCACCCTCACCGCGCTGTGAGCCGGCAGCAATCTCTGAAATCTTATGACAGGACCACAGGCAGCCCGTGGTGTGGAAACTCTGCCACACGGGGTCACCAGTGAGCCCGGGGCAGATGCAGGTGTGGGCGGCACTCGGGCCGGCCATGTATGGGACGGGCGGTGTGAGGGGAGGTTACCTCGGAAACACAGCGATGTCACTGAGGAATGGCAACAAGCTGCCTCAACGTCATGGAGCCTGTTGGAGATTGTCGAGGTGCATGTGGTTACTGACTATATGCTGTGCACGCACCGCAGGGGTGCTGCTTGTTTCCCAGTAGTGAGGAACTGATGTACTTGAATGTATTATAGGTTATTAATTAGGTTTATTTATTCATTTATTTATTGAATTATCGGTTACTACAGTGAGCAAATAAGGAATGTAAAGAGAAGAAAGAATGAAATGTGGAAATGTTTACAGGCATGTCTTTAGATGGAGTAGTGGGCCTTTTACACACATACACAAGCACACAACTTCAAACACATAAAGAGAATCTGTATTTGATTCTGTTCATACACATGCCTTTTGTGTGACTGATTGACCGTGTTACGATAAGAAACCCTTCAGTTTACTGATGCTTATAAATCTTTACATTCTCCGGGTGACAGGTGGGAGGGACTTCTCTGAATGTTACTGTTTACAAGACCAAAAATCTAGAGTGAAAAGTGATCCCACAAATCAAGCCTGAAACTGTGTTTGCCATTTTATAAATCTAATAGCAGAATGCTGATGTATGCGCATTACGTAACTTCATGAAAAAACTGTTTGGATGAGATGCAGTCCTTTGCACATTTAATTTGTTTTCATTTTGTTCAGACTCAGTATGGTTTATTGACATGTAATACATTTATTTGTCAACACTCTTTCTCTACCCCCTGTGGAAACACCAAACTCTCCTGTGCATGGTGGTGTGTCTGTCAACACCCAGTTTTTTCCATACAATTCATCTTTAGTACCAACATGTCCATCGAGAACAGGAATCTCCAGAATTCGATTGATGACTTGGTCACACTTTCCGATAGATATTTAGGGCACATAACATTGTTTATGGGAATTTTAGGTCCTAAGATTTTGGCAACTGTCAGGAAAGACTTACACAACGTGCATTATTATTACAGATTTCCCGGTATGTCCACAGATAGGGTTAAACCAGTGAGTGAAGAGGAGCGGGATAGAAGTGCAGTATGCAGCACATGCTGAATTGAGTGAGGGGGTCTCAGAGAACATCTATAAAACTGACCTAATCATTGGATGACATTCAAGTTTGTCGATCTCCCCACATTTGCCACAGAACCATGTACAATACTGACTTACATGAAGCTTATTATTGTGGATAAGCAGACACAATACAGCATTTTTACTTGGAATGTTTCTTTAAGTACAAAGGATTGATGCCCACCGGACCTGCATGTTCACTGGAGAAAGTTATCAGAACGAATTTCACCACTACAGTGCTGGGAACACAATCTGTTGCAAACAGTGTTTCTATATACAGTATATATTTGTAATGGCAATTGAAATTGAATTGAAATTATTGTTAACTTGTCCTGTTTTGTTTCCCTGGGTTTGCAAAAGAACATCTTTTCCTCTATTGTATTCCCTATTTTATGCAGTGAAGAATTTCATTACTTTTACTATGATCTCCATGAGAAAATTGCCCTAAACAACTGATGGAAAACTTTTTAAATAATCTGTGCTCACAAAGCATGCTTTAATAAGCCATAAACTGCATTGTTGTTTCATCAGGGATTTTATCTGTGAATGACTGAATGATGTTGTCTGCTCTTGCTTTGTAATGCTCAACTACCACCATTAAAAACAATGTCAAGATTTTCTTTTTATGATTCTTCATTGCTAACCCATTTGTCCCATCTGATTACCAGGACAGGTGTACGAGACATGCAGAACTCGAAGCAGTGCAACAAAGAATCACATAGGATGGTGCATATGTAAAGACCTGCATCACTTTTAGTTTGGCTAATTGTGCCCGAGAGCACAGCAGAAAACAGAATTGGCATAAATCATCAATATATTTCTATAATATACCTAAAGGATGTAAAATCCTTATCCGGTGGTGTTATCGTAGCAACAACGTTGGAACCTACTCAAAACTAGTTTATAGCAAAAGAATTGTGATTAATAACAATGAACACAAAGTTTGTAACCTTCGTCTAGGGGGCAAGTGTAACAGCAGTCACAGTTGCATGTGTGTGCAGAAACAATGACATCGAGACTCCTCGATGGGCATTTCTGCACATATCGTATTCATAAATCAGGTGAACAGGGTTAGTTTTTGGTAGATCGTCCGAAAGACAAGCCAAACTTCTGAAGACTAGCGTACTAACTGTACTTTTAGACCTCATCATTGATCTTGTTGTTTTCCCATTAAGGAAATGTTCAGGAAATCTTTCGTCAGTCCCACAGCAAGGAATTCAACAAACAATTATGGCCAGTACGGAGGTCGCACCCACTTCCTTCAGGGCTATCAGCACCACGCTCTAACAAACTGAGCCAACTGGCCGTGTGACGCTTCATGCACTCAACCAATGTTTCAAACAAAATAACTTTGGTCCAAAAAAGACTGATTGTCAGGAAGCAAGATGGCGCGAGGCCATTAGAACCATCTACGCACCGCAGTCAGAGGTCGCAGGGAAAACCCAAGAATTTAGCAATAAAACGGTGACACAGAGCGACAGGAATCACGTGGGAAAGCCAAAAAACTGACGGCGAGACAACGGACGCACATGGCTTAAATACCTGAAGGACGGTGCAGGTGATTGGACGCAGGAGGGAACAGGTAGAGACGAGGTAGACAATCACAAGGGTGGGAAAAACTTACCGGGGGAAAAAGTACAGCTAACGCAGGGACACGAGACCGAGAGAAATTCAAAATAAAACAGCCAATAACGCAAAATGCAATGTTTATCTCAAGTTTATCTTATTACTTTGAATATTTTCTCTGCCCAATATGAATTAGTTATATCAGACCTATCTCCATTATCGTTTCATGTAAAGGACATTTACAAGAACACACATTCACAACAACATGTCCGGTGATTTGCGTCTTTGCATTTTATTACATACAAAATAATACAATTCTCTAACTTCTAGGCTCCGATAATTAGAGAAAATACTAGCATGCTTATTTTTTTAACCAACTAACTAGGTGGGGAGGTTGTTCAAAATAATGTAGGGGAAAGTTCCCCTCTTTGGTGAAAAGAAAAACGTTTATTGTAGTTAATGAAACTATCTAAGACTCACTGACATGGATTAATATTTCAGAAAGTGATCAAATCCAAAAGGGCAGAGTCAGAAAGTGACGGATTTCATAGTGACATCACAGCGTACTTTGTTAGTGAATTGTCATTATTGATTCATAATTGTATTGAAATTTCAGTATTGCAGTGCCGACAGTATTTCAGTGTGAATGTGGTGGTTTGTCAGCCTTCCAGTAAAAGCTTTGCATCTGCGTTAGGTTGTTCTTTCCCCTGAAAAAAAAGCAGCTCAACAAAGAGCTTTGGTATCATGTTTGTTTTCTCGGCCTGTTCTTACCTTTGGTTACTTAGTAGCGTGATCTGTGCTGTTTCTCTACCTGCTTCGTGCGGACTTATGGAAGCGGTAACTTGTAAAGTGCGTGTGATCCATCAGAGGAGGATTCCGTTTCCTCCGCTGGGCTTTTCTCATCAACACTGGACCCCTCCTACTGGATGTCAAACAGAGACCGGAGGTCGCCAGGTCACTCCCAACTGTTTTTTCGTCTCCATGGGAGCAGAGTGGAGGAGAGGAACGAGTGTGTGAATGCATTGCTACAGAATGAGGAGAACTCGTTGCCTTGTTAGCCTTATCAGGGCGCACGTTGATTCCTCTGCTGTTTACTGATGAGCTCATGTGTTACCTGTCCATGATACAACGTCTTTTAATTCAACTATTTCCGTCTAACAAATTAATAATTTATTATAGTCATTTAATTATGTATTAATATTTTTTGTACTTTAACACAAATTATTTTTTTAATACTATTGTACCATTTAGGCCCAGACGGTTTTACACTTGGCTTGAATTAACCTAAGAATAAGGTTCAAGAGCCCAGATTAAACTCATCATTTAAGAAATCAAAAAGAGAGATGTAACAAAAAATGCGAAAGAAAAGCACATGACAAACATTTAATGCAACGGATACAATGTTTAAAAAAAACCAATACATTATCAGCATACAGCCCATTAGAGGTCATCTCAGACTTTGACGTGAATGCCAGATGACCTATCTACCATTGAACCGCCATGTAGGCTCAGTGTCTTTCTCCTTGTATGTCATCTCAGATTCAAAAGTGGTGTGTCATGGGTGTTGAAAATTAACCGGACTGTGCAAGATGCGAGACCGACACTGAAGTTTGTCTTGGCGGAACCCTAAAGTGGTTATGTATTATAGCTGGCACTTTCTAACATATTCATCTCTGTCAGTTGGACTTTGCCTTTATGACTGACATAATTGACGGAAAAGTGCTTGAAAAAGTGTTTGAATATGCTGCAAAAAGAAATGCAAATCGGTTTCCTGGAGTCCATAACCCGGATTAGCCGTCTGGGTCCATCGTGAGATTTGATAATAGTTCCTGCAAATGAGCGTAGTTAAACTCATATTCTCCCAAACTTTTTGAAACACCCCTTGTTGTTTTATTAACATTTACAACTGCTTGTAATATGTAATACAAAAGCTAAAGTATATAGATTTGTAATAGCACAAATGAGACACAATAGACACACTCATTGTGTGACTGCACTTACATGCCATTATGCAGTGGTGCCATATAAGTTATACAGTAGTATAATGTAGCGTAACTCTACATTCTCGAGGCAAATACTGTACTTTTTACTCCCCATTGATGTGATGACTTTAGATGACGAAGAGTAACTCAACTAATAAATTATATCATGTTCTTATAGATTAAGAGAACAAGTAGGGAATTATACAATGTATTTAAAATTAGCTCCACATTTACCAGCTACAGTGAAGTGATGTGGATGTTAATGTATGATCCAAAAATTCTATACATATTATTCTGAAATGTGCCATTCTTCTCTGAATTATGTTTTAAAATGTTTCTAAAGCGTGTTTGAGTAGCATAAAAATCGCTGTATAAATAAAATGTATTAACATTATTATTAAGAGTAATTTTACTCTTTAATACATTTTAACCCTTTTGTAATTTCTTCTCCATTTTTACACTGTGCTATTTCTACTTGTACCCAGTAAACGAACCTAGTAGTTCTCCGAGTACTTTAGCGGGACTCTCCTGCGCTCGGGCGCCAATGTCAATCGTCCATTCAAACGTCCTGCGGTGAAGTCAACTGGACTTTATAAAGTGCCCGTGAATGCAACGTGAGCTCTCCCCGTTGGCAGTGACGCACCAAAACAGCTGCACGAGGCGGTTGGCTGCGACACCTTTCTCGCACACCACGTGCGTAACCTTCCGCCCCCACCCTCCACCACCACCACCACCCTGATGTAACCACCGCTGTCACAACGGGGGGGAAACCAAGTGACAGAAAACCAGCGCGGCCTGAACACACCGCACCGATGGAGGCTTCTGCTCGGGCGCCAGTTGGATACTCGGAGGGGGTGAAGGAGGGTTTGAAAGCGGATGAAGCCGCTCGTTCCTCGCGGGGCTGCGGGGCCGCCTGGGACGGTTGTTTGAAGAAAATGCTCAACTTTATACCCCCCGACTACCGGAAAGAGCTGTTTCAACTTTTCAAGCTGGCGGGACCTGTGGTAAGAGAATACATGGCTACCTGTTGTTTGTTTGTTTGTTTTTGTTTACAATAGCTGTGCATTCGAGACCCGGTGCTATACTCTACACCCCGTTGTTTAAACGATTGGGTTATTGTTATTATCGCATAAAGAAAATTAGGAATACTGTCCCGTTATACTAACAAACTTAATTTTAGTGGTTAAAAAAAGGGTGGTGTATCATACATGTTTTCGTTGTGAATTTGTTTTCAAAATTGGCGAATGCCTAACCACTAATATACAATTGTTATGTTGTTGTGTAGGTAATACCATGCAGCTTACTAAACAGAAAAATATATCATCATTACAAGATGCTCGACCTTGACTTTAAACGTCTACTTTTTTAACTTAATTAATATGTATTAATTATTCATAAACGATTTTATATGTATATATATATATATATATTTCTTGGATAGAAGCAGAAAATAAAAATACAATTTCAGGGAAAATAAACTATGGAAATAAAAGTGCAGAAATATACGTGGAAAAGTTAGTTTAGAATTCTGTGTTTGTCGCCCTATTTTGGATCAATTTGGAACTTCATTTTCAGATTCAACATGTGGCTCTGAGTCACTTGAATCTGGATTTACCTTTTTTCTATCTCCCTCATGGTCACTGTCAGGATCTCCAATCCCCCCGAGTTGGTTGATGAGAAGGCCGCAGCACGTTGATCAATTAAAATCAAAAAGTTAACATTTATTTAGAAGAGAAAAAGATTACATGAGCAATTCTCCGCAGATATCTGGCTCTAACTATTGCTTGCAGGAGGTCAGATACACAAGCACGTATCTCAGCGTTTGGTGTAATGGTGTCTCCGAGCAGTAAAACCGCTGACTTTTTATACACATGAAGACCAGTGCCGGGCACGAGAAGCTGCAAAGCAGGTTGAGATAAGAACCCAGGTGAAGCTGAGGGTAGCACACACATACAGACACACATCCTCCTCAGTGGCCGGTGCAAATCATAATTGATTGACATGAAGTAAAAACGTGGATCCGGAACTTTCGTACCGAATAAGATATAAACTAAGGCCATGAACAGAAGTCCTTTGTTTTGAATCGTCTATGAGATCGAGTCGACCGCCCTCCCTTCTCAGGACACAGCTGCAAACTAACATTTTGTATCATGCTGCTCTTTGCACATCAGGGTCAAATACAGGACACTTCAGACACGGCTTTAGCACAAAACAATGTTATAACATATTTTACCATTACATGCATCTCACATCACCTGATGGTTCTTTGTGTAAAGGGAAGTCAGAGTGCATAGAACACTCCTCCAGGGCAGATATGGCAGATTCCTCCAGTGCCAACGTGCTGTTCAATTCAAATCCTTTGGTTTTGTTCAGCCCAAAATGACAAATTAGCATCAGAGAGCTTTGTGTAAACATGCAACATCCTCTCTGCACAGAAAAAACTCCACCCCAAATGGGAGGGAAAAAAAGCTGCAGCAAAACCTGATGCAGAACAGCCGAGGAGTAGGTTTGTAGAGAATGAACAGCTTAGATGAGATGGGCAGTACGTTCAAGTCCTACTACAGAAATGATTTGGATATCGAGAGTAGCTAGTAGGCCAGATGTAATGCAGGACCACTGCAGGGACAACCTCCACCAGTTGTAACCTCCACCAGATGCAACCACCATCCACAGCTTACTAGAAAGAGCACGTGTTGATTTGAACAGCGCAAGTTCAAAAAAAGTACAAATACTGGTTATAGTTCCATTTGTGCTTCATTAAAGACATGTTGAAATCACGTCTTTGTGACACCAGTTCATTAGTTATTATGAAAATCTTCGTTTCTCATTGAACCTCACGTTACAAACAAATACATTATGAAAACATTGATGTTTCGTTCACTTTTTAGCCAGTTGAAAACACTTTGAAATGAGGTCTTAGGCGTTTGGACCCAATCTCAACGTTGAAATGACGTCTAGCGCTCACTGGGCAAGAACAACAACACAAGATCACATATGGGACTTCATGATTTCTCTCTTGCTGTATGAATGAATCTGCCATTAATATTAACAATAAAATGATACGGGTGTTTTTTTTCCCTACTTTAGGTGATTTCCCAGATGATGGTCTTCCTGATCAGTTTTGTCAGCACTGTGTTCTGTGGTCACTTGGGGAAAACTGAACTTGCAGGAGTAGCATTATCCATAGCGGTAAGGAGACTTCCTGGAGTCCTAACTGTGTTTGTTCTGTCATATCCCAGCCTTACTGGCCCCCTGAATTGTATAAATTGCCCTTGTTTGGATAAAACAACTGAAAGATTGTCAGTAAATCTAATTTGCAATAGGGGTTAAATAATTTGAAGTGTAACTGTGTATGAGTTATGTTGTTATTTTTTTCTGTCTTTTGCAGGTGGTCAATGTCACTGGTATTTCCATTGGAACTGGTTTATCGTTAACTTGTGATACCCTCATATCTCAGGTAGGGTCCTCACCAGATGTTGCTCTTTCCCTTAATTTATCTGACCTGGACTAAGCCAACTGACACGGTTGGGTTCCCAGGTTATCTCCTTTTTTCAAAACCCTTAACAAAGTGCTTTATTTGCTTCATCACGTTAGTTTTCTTTCACCCATCACACCCTTGGTGACTTGGTCTGCACCCTGTTTTTCGTGCAGACATATGGGAGCGGTAACCTGAAGCGCGTGGGTGTGATTCTCCAGAGGAGTATTCTGATTCTGCTGCTGGCCTGTTTCCCCTGCTGGGCTGTCCTCATCAACACTGAACCTCTCCTACTCGCTGTCAAACAGAGCCCAGAGGTTGCCAGGTGAGCCGTTGTTCAACCCCCTTCACAATACACAGCGGAGCTGTGCGGTATTCATTTTTTCCGCACCGTCAAACCGACGATTTCAAGCCGCAACAACTGCCGTTGCTCTTTGGGAGGCAGCAGGGTTTATTTTTTCAGCTCATCGCAAGGTGCACAGCGGTCGGAGCTACTTGTGTTACACAGCAGCTTGTAACACATAAACAATTTGTAACACTAATAGTTGTACATTTATAAAATGACCCCTCTGAACTGCATGCTGAGGACAGCTCGCCAACTATCACAGGAAGAAGACATTCTGTCACTACATGAAAACGCGGAAAAGAGCGACGCTGGCACCAACACAACTTGTTATAAAGTGTGCGGTTTGGAGGGTTTTGAAAAATCCCACGTAAATTAACGTTAGATCAGAAAACAATGTATTGGAAAGTTGGTCGTGGCCCTGGCATTGCATCTGGTGGCAACAATAGCAGCCACAACAGCTGACAAGCTAACGAGCTAACACGCTAACGAGCCGGGCAGTTGCAAGCGTGTGAGCAGCTGTTCAATTGGCCGGCGTCCTTTCCAGCGTCAATGAATGAATATGTTTACTCAAAAAAAAAAACTTGATATACAGGGATACGGTCTGAATCTTTTTGGCCATACCGCCCAGCCCTAAGACACACCACCCAATTCTTCCCTTTACTGACTTTGCTGTACATGTTGCAGGCTTTCCACCTGTGCTGGAAAACCTGGAAAACAGTTGACCATTTTCCTTTTTGGAATACACACGGAAAATTGTAGAAGAAGTCAAAATTCCTTGAAAATATTGTACTGTCCTGAAATATTGTTTTCGACGTTTTCATATTTTCCAATGAGTTATAAGCTGTCTATACCCCAATGTGGTGTGTCGCTAGACTGCCATGTGTTAGCATTTGCGGACATTTTGAAAACTAATGAATTTGTGCCAAACTTCAAGCCAACATATTGATAATTTAATTTTGACTACTCAGAAGATTTCTAGAATTTTTAGTATTGCTAATGTAAAAGCATTTGTAGATATCTAACGCTTCGATGAGAGAGTTGAATTGTTGGAATCAATAATTAACATTTGGAGACACCACTGGACGCATAGTCTTATCGCGACTGATAAACTGTTTGATATTTCGAGGAGGAATGAATGCCACAACGTAACACTGGCCTCAACTCGGCCATTTGGGGGTGCAGCAGAGAAAAGTTATCAATATCTTGTTATTTAGCTGCTAAACACTCATATATGTTCACCAGCTGATCTCCACTTGTGTTCCGATTATTAGTTTTGTCCTGTAATTAAAAAAAGGTCAATGATTTATTTCCAGACCCAACAATGCACCATGGGATGAATCCCAATGACTCATAACAGCATATTTTAGATAATTAAATCAAGTGGATCAAAGTCTTATGTTTCAACCTGACAACTACATATTTCTTTGTTCCCTTTTTACATGAAGACTCGCCCAGCTGTACGTGACGATCGTCATGCCTGCTCTGCCGGTGAGTTGGGTGCATTCTAGACTGTTTTAAGATAATTGTATAATACAGACATACGGAGGTTTTTCCTTGATTGTTAAGCTCAAATTTTCCAACAGTATGCCAAAGACCCACTGATTACGCTTTTTATTTCCTTTTTCAGGCTGCTTTTATGTACCAGCTGCAAGGGAGATATCTTCAAAACCAGGTGCCGCAATGCGAACCCACTGATGTTAAAGTTTATTAAGTTATTGTATATTATATTAATAACAGAGGTTGGGGTTTCCAGGGAATCATATGGCCTCAGGTCGTGACTGGAGTGATTGCAAATATCATCAACGCAATCATCAACTACGTCTTCCTCCACGTTCTGGAGTTGGGCGTTGCGTAAGTTTTCCTACATATTTATTTTGCAGTAAAGCTCAACAATGTTGACATTCTTTCCTTCCCAAACTTTTTTCATACTGCTAATGTACGGTCTTATTTATGGTTTCTTATCCTGGTTGAGGTATGCAAGGTCAGAAAACACAGCAAAAAGTTCCAACCAGGCAGAAACAGTTTTGATAAGGATGCAATGTTTGTTATTTTTTCATTAATGTCAGCAGACCACACATTTCATGTGAATGGATCCAGTACTCCTCCTTGACTGTAGTTTAGGGCCAATAAAAATATTTTGTTCTATATTGTAACAATGAGTACAGAAATGTTTTTCCTGACGTTGGTCAGATGTTTATCCGGCCTGCATTCTGACAGAACTGCTCACGGCCTTTGCAAACGCAGCGCGGATCACTTTACGTGTGATCTGATGAAAACATCTAGTTGTTCAAAGTTGTTCTTGCTGATATCCCCAACCGGGCTTCCAACTTTGACCACGCTATCAATGTTTTGCCGTGTCCTGCCTTTCTCTGTTGGCTGTTTTTGCTGAGTTAATTACTGTGAATATGATTTTCATTTTCTGTTTCTTTGTGCTTTAAGTGGATCAGCTGCATCCAACGCTATCTCACAGTATGTGCTGGCCGTGGTCTTGTATGTCTACATCTGCTGCAGGGGTCTACACAAGGCCACATGGGGGGGTCAGTTGTAATATGCATTTGTTTTTTATTCTCATGGTGTTCATTTTATTCTCTCTTGTAATTTTTATTCTCTTTCCTCATTGAAGCCTCTGGTCTCTTATTAACTTTTTCATGGTTTGTCTATTATGGACTTTCGAGTTATTAATGTTTAACAACATTAGTTGCCCTCTATAACTGTGTAATGTAGGGGGCCAGAGTGGTTCTGTTGATGACTCAGCTGGTCCAAGTAAGGATTCAGTTTCGAGCTGTGTAATTTGTAAGGCTGTTGTATAAGACTGGCAATAATTGGCCAGTTGCACAGTCATTCTGACGTAACAATTATTCAGAATTTAAGTAAACTCTAAAATACGCTTCATATTTCAAATAATAGATTTTGTCTTCCGGCACTTCTATGCCTTCTGTATGTCTGACCTTTTCTGTATTGCAATGCAATTTTAGCATAACCGACCACTAAGACGAGTTTGCTCTAATATGACACGAGAAAATGAAAGACACCCCACAGCTTCATGTAAAGACATCCGACCCACAGGTTGGTCAATGGACTGTCTTCAGGAATGGGGACCCTTCGTCCAGCTGGCCATCCCCAGTATGCTCATGCTTTGTCTGGAGTGGTGGATGTTTGAAATAGGAGGATTCCTGGCCGGACTGATTAGCGAGGCTGAGCTGGGAGCTCAGTCCATAGTTTATGAAGTGGCGGTTATAGCTTACATGGTAAGTCCTATGTTTTGTAAATGTTCCGTCCAAACCAATGATTATGTATTAATTGTGAATGCTAACCCTGCGCTTTAATTGTAGCTAAAGGGATAGTTTGCATCTTTTGAAGTTGTTGTATGAGATACTTATCCATAGTCGATGTAATACCTACAGTAGTTGGCGGTAACCTTCCCATGTGGAAGCAGCGGCAAAACATATTATAGCCACCTAAAAAAAGCTCCCCTAACTTGTATGCAACATAAAGAATATTTTCCCTGCTTTACCCAACAAACAAACCAATAGAGCCGGCAGCAGGCCGGCCAGTCCCGTGTTCTGTGAGTTAAAATGTTGTTTTTGTGAATAGAGTCTGGTGGTTTTGGAGAGAGCGTAGATAACTGCTTCAATTCCCCAATGTAAAGGGATTTCTGATGGCAAGATACAGTCGTGTAAATATTCTTCATGCTGCTCATTGCTCCTGTAGTATTTGACTGTGGTTAAGTACCTCATACAACCACACTTGTTTTCTTGTAGAAAAAGTAGCGTTAATACATTTTTGAACCTTACTTTTCATAGTTTCCATTAGGACTGGCTGCTGCTGCCAGTGTACGTGTTGGAAATGCTCTTGGTGCAGGAAACATAGAGCAGGCCAAGTTGTCATGCAAAATCCCCATCATTTGTGCACGTAAGACCCATGGCATACTTTGCTGTACATAAATAACCTTTTCACATGAGTGGTAGTGTTAGCTTAGCGGCCATCTCTAGGAGAAATATCAATTTTCCACATTTTTCACATCTCATTAACATCAAAAGCCCTTTCGACACCACCAGTCAAGCTATACATACAACTATACATTAGAACTGTATTCCAATCAACTGAAGTATATAATATAGTTAATATATACATTTTAATACTAAAGCTATTTACCTTTAAAGCAATAGGGTAAAAACAAGTAGGATCATTATGTCTCACTAGCTCATTTATTGGTTCTTATTGCCACTCCTGCTGTGTATGTCAGCTCTAAGAAGTCTGCACTGAACTGCATGAGTGCTTTTAGTTTGAAGTGATGTTTGGTCTGAACGTTCTTTTCAAGACTAACGTTGCCATGTCAGTCACACAATGGCCATAGGGAGGAATTAAATGTATGAACAGATTTCCTTATGCGAACCATTCCATTTCCAATACCCCTCTTCCCCATGTCATTTCATCTTGTTAATTGTAAAAGAAAACACAATTTCTGTTAACTGTGCAATATGAATAAGTCTGTTAATTTTTTTAATCCCCAACGCAGTCGTGATCGCCTGTGTTGTTGGAGCCGGCCTCAGCATTGTCCGAAATGTGATTGGATACATCTTCACAACAGAGCCGTGAGTAAAATCTTTGACACATTATTCTTTACTTTCTTTTCATTTCATTCTTTTTTTTTTACTCCAATTTGCAGTCATGCATGTGACATACGGCTTCAGTTTCATATTGCCGTCCAGACTATCATACAATACCTAAGAACATCATCTTCATGCTTGCTCACAAACACTAGACTCAACTTATCGTTGAAGCCATATTTAAAATTACAACTAATCTATTCTCAAAGAGTCTGCCATACATATCTGTGGCAAAGCTTTTTTTTACATTTCAGTTAAATATCTTAGCTTCAATACACAATTAACCCACTCTGGGTATTTACACCAGAAACCGTGCTCTTTCAAATGAACCGACGATGTGAGCGCAAATAAAACCATGGCCCTTTTTCTGTTTATCCTTTAAAAGGACTGAAATGGGATCGTTTAAATGCAAAAACTGAGTAAACTCTATTACTTCTGACTGTTCTCGTCTCCATCTTCTTGCCAAAACATTTAGTGTCCATCAAGAATCTCTTTTCTTTTTTTTAGGGACATTTTAAAGAGGGTTGCTGATGTCATGGTTGTATTTGTCTTCTCGCATCTTGCCGATGCTGTTGCAGTAAGAAAGTATTTTGTCGCATTAATAAGAATTTCACACCCAATATTGACCCATATAGAATGTGACTTGACCGAATGTCTGTTTGACGTGTACAGGCTGTGGCTGGCGGTGTTCTCAGAGGAGCAGGAAAACAATTGGTTGGTGCCCTGTGTAACTTGGTGGGATTCTACTTCATCGGTTGCCCTATTGGTGTGTCCCTAATGTTTGCAGCAAACATGGGCATTGTAGGTAAGACCAAACTAGGAATACGTTGTTCTGGAGTGTCGTGGAAGGTCATTCAAACGCTGCTCTCGTCTCTGTAATAGGACTTTGGATAGGGCTCACAATTTGTGTGCTGGTCCAGTCGATTTTCTTCGTCACATTTGTGTTCAAACTTGATTGGAAGAAGGCCGCTGAAGAGGTGCGTGCCTTCCTTCTTTGACCAATAAAAATCTGACTTTTTAGATGAGTTTGAAGTTGGAAATCTCTTCAAAATCAAAAAATGCGTATCAGTTCTCCTGATTGCTGTGATTGTTGTGTCATCTTTAGCAACTGGGTCATGAGACTGTATTTGTGGATATTTGCCAAAACACACTGTTCAACTGACACCAAAACAATCTAGATCGATAAATATTACAACACATAATAGGAAAGGTATGTGTTTTGGATTCATGGGTAATCCGTCCCTCTACTAATTGTCTTGAATGTCTCTGATTAGGCTCTTGCGAGAGCAGGAATCCAGGTCAAAGAAGAAAGAGAGATGGTCGTGAGAGGAAGTGCAGGTAAGCTGCAATGCGCAGTCACTTAAACATCATTGTGTGACGGTATTTTGTGAAAACTAAATGTTCTCCCTCAATCCTCTAGACACAAACCAGAACCAGGTCACTGCATCCGGTGCTGAGGAGGATAACACATATGAGGAGTTGCCTACTTCTGGCCTAAATGTATCCAACAGCACTACAGTGGGCGATATCCTGTCGAAATCCCAGCTGGTCTTACGTCGTGGGCTGACTTTGCTGATCATGGTCCTCATCCTGGTCGCTGGAATCTTTGCAAGCAACTTCCTCACCAGGCTGCTGAAATGAAATCATCAGCTGCAATAGAGCTGGCTGCCAGGATCCTTGGCGTCTTCGGGCCGCTGGACCACACTTTCTACAATGAATTACGTTAGTAGTGAGTGGGTTACTATTAATCGCACGGAGGACCACCCCCCCATTTGACTGGAGATTAGACAGACATGGCAAACTGGGTGGAATAGCTGGCAAGCCGGGAAAGCCCCAAAATTCACATTCCCTTTAACAAGCACTGTGGTAAAAACCAAACCAGCTATGATGGATTATTAAACTGATAAATAGCTGAATATAAATAAATCGCTCACTTTTGCACAGAGGAAATATTGATATTGAACGGTTTAATTAATATTGCCTGATTAAATTGTCAGGTCCTATTGAAGCGGTGTTGATGGTTGGCAGACCTCCGCCAATGACACCAGCCGCTGCACCATAAGAACAGAGCTTAGTGAAAGTGGACGGATTCACAACCCTCAAACCATTGGAAGAATGAAAAAAAATGTATATAGTATATGGAAAGAGAAAACCCAAGAAAGGGAAAGAGATCAAGAAATGAATGTCTGAAAGATAAAAGATAAAACAACAGAACAATAATAAAATCCTCTCAAAACAGAGACTATACTTGTTAGAAAAATCTTTCAACAGAACATTTATTAACAATACTTGTAGAAGTAGGGGACAGGATTGACACACGTCAAGCATCAAGACTTTTCGTAGGTCTTCCTCTCCGTCTCTGACACACACGCACTGAAACAGGGAGATCCAGACATGATCTTGAAACTGGCCACCTGCTGTCTTGAAGCACCAGAGAGTGTTGTTAATCTGATTGAGTGGAGATCACTTTGTTTTGCACTTGATAAGACGAGACACCGTCAGTTCCTGTGAGATTTTCTGCACACTAATGCACAAATCCTCTTGACTGAGGAGGACCTTTATCAGTCTGCAGAACTCATCCACCCCTCTCCTAGAGCAGAATGCATGTTTGATTTTTCATACCCGGTTGATCAATGCCCTCGGCTTGGCTGACAAAAGGTCACTTCCAACGAGCCAACTGAGGCCAGAGAGCACTTCATGGATTCCTTGCAGAGGGTGGGGAGGATCCCACCCTCCCTCGAGGTCTTGATGATGTCATTATCTATCTGCAGTGGCTGTCTGCTCGTCCTGCTGCTCAACCCCATTTCTACAAATATTGCCCACACTGCTTTTGCCACACGTTCCACGAACCCCGGGTCGGCTCGCTGGACAAAGTCTGGAATTGGATCGATGACTTCTTAGTGATGGATATTAATCTTAAAATCATTAACTTAGTGTTTAGACTAAGAGACTAGAGAGACCCAAATATTATTTTGGTAGATTGATAAAACGAAAAATAGATAAATTTACTTTATCAACATGTACAATGAGGCTTCAAAGGGGGGTATTTCAAGATCTGAACATACAAATAACAAAATAATCTACAACATTTTTCCAGTTGAGGTGTAGCACAACCAAGGCGTGGACCTCGGTTTTCGGGCCAATTTTTGTCACCTAGTCTCTTCGAGTTTTGATAGTTTTTGGAAGCCTGTCTCATTTTTCTCAGTTTCCCATTGCCTCTAATTTCCTGCTTCCGTGCCAGTACACTGTCTTTCTCTTTTTCCTCAAATGTCCAATCCTGAGGCGTCCTGTCCTCTTCCATCTCCATGCCTCTGTGCTTGATCCCGTATTTATCAAGGAAAACATACACACAGTAATCATAGACATTTTACACCTGTACACCACAAGTATGAATTGTGATGTACTCCCTCAAACAAAACATCAAACTCCTGGTTCCTATTACAAAATTAGCTTGCCAACTAAGCAAAATGTATATTGTGGTTGATTTAATATATTTCACAAAATAGTCCTTTTTATTTTGAAGTTTTTCTGCATAATTTATCTCATGTATTATTATCCTTTTTTTCACTATGTGTGTGTGTTGATGTCCCATCCAACTGTCTTTTGTAGTAGCACACAAGTGCCACAAGAGGGCAATAGATACATTTGAAGGAGACCAGTAAGAGACAGTAGTTGATTTAAGGCTCTCTGATGACATCAGGACCGCAGAGAGCCTTCACATCTTTCGCAGCAAACTAAAGACACACCTCTTCAGACTCTACCTCCACTAAAAACACTAAAACACTTAAATTGTACTTATAATGGGTCTTATCGATAGCAGGTTGTAAATCGGCTTATTGGATGAAATTGCACTTTCTTGTTCTTTTGAGTTTGTATCCTTATGGTTGAAATGCACTTATTGTAAATTGCTTTGGATTAAAGCGACTTACAATAAAAGCAAAATGACATTTAATGTAACGTAACAAGACATGACCTTTTGTCCACATGAGGTTTTCACGTGTGCGCTTTAGAAACAGACAGATAGGGTTGCATGGGGCATTGTAAGGCATCTGAATTAAGTGGGTCAGTCTATTTAAGAACAGGAAGTGTATAGGCCTCAAAAGGCTGCTTGTTAAAGGCAGGATTAGTAATCTTCTTGAAACACTTTTTTTTTTTATATTGTTTGTGCTGCAGGATACTTTCATTGGAAACAAGACAAGTGGTAACATATGTTGTCTGTAATTGTCTCAGGAATCAGGAAAACATTTATTACCAAAATATGTCAAACATACAAGGAATTTGTCTTGGCGGTTGGTGCGCGACAGTGGACAGTGTGCATTGAAGTTTAACTTGGGCAAAGCAGAATGGTGCAAAGTTTCCTTTTGCAGCTGTGTCTGAAGAAAGGACAGCGAGCCAACTTGCTCTCACACGAAGCCTCGGAAGAAGGAAACTGCCTGTTACCCCGTCGTCAACTTACACGCGAGGTGTCTCACCTGCTTTGTAAAGGGTCGTAGCCTGGCTCAACATGCATCGAGGCAAGTTTCATAATCTAGTTTCATAGCTCACTTGGTTGGTTCCCAAGTTTGACATCTGCCATCTCCCTGTACGGTCTAGTGGTTAGGATTCAACGCCATCTCCACAGAGCACTGTAATCAGGAATCAGGAAACATGTATTGCCATAATATGTCAGACATACAAGGAATTTGATCGCCCTTAAGTCGGTCAACCGGTCTTATAACAAATAAATGCCTTTGTTTGAGATAAAAGCGCTCTGTGACCCGAGGTCCGGAAACAAATTAGATTGCCTCTCTGGTGGAGGCGTACTTTATCTAATGCTCCTAAAAACAACGGTTAAACATTTGAGGTATAGAACAAGGTGTACATGAACAACCTGCCAGCAAACTGGCCGAATCAGTCTCTCCTGTAGCCTTACCAGTCTAAATGGGCTTGTTTCCAATTCTTTCCAAGATCAAACCAAACCAAACTATTGGTTGGACCAGATGTGGAGAGGACTTCCCACTCTGTTGGAGACGTAGAAACAAAGCAGGGAAACGGTGCCGTAGTTTAGGCAATCAGGACAGGACGCATTGGGATATTCATCCTGTAGGATATTAGAAATAAACTGACGACCCGGTTCATAAAATGAATAAAATGCATGTAGTGTACACCAGAATACAGCCATGATTCTGAAACTGTGTAATCAATAAAGTAATGACAATATTGTAAAACCACTGTAATTCTGCAGTGTAACATAATAATACCAATGCAGTTATGATTGTATTTGATGTAATCAACTGGAATGCATGCATGTAATACTTGCACAACAACTGATGGGACCTTTCACACCTTTAAGCATTGTTATAAATACCTGTAGGAATCATTGTTCTGGAGTTTGCTGGTGGAGACAACAGACGGGCACTATGGGGGGTCAAAGGACTGACCTGAGGCCTGTTGGTTGCTGAGACCAGCGGCTCCTCAGCTGAGATGTTCTTTTTACCACAACACCATCTCTTTTATTAAATACATTTGATTTTAACCTTTCGATCTGCGATGCCCTCTGTCCTTCCGGCGTTTCTTCATTTTAGAACACAACAATCCCAACAAAGGGGAAGTGAACCGCTTCGCGTTGGGCATGATCACATGAGTTTCCCTTACGCCTCAGAAATGTGTGCGTTCTTCAGTCCGTACAGTGGAACCTCAAGGCTCAATTAAACAACACAAACACCCAGCATAATTACAATATAATGGAAATGTATTGTTGTGTGAATTATTCTGAAACACACACACAAGTTGCTTGTGTTTTTGTACCTTCAATACACATGTGTGTCATTCAAATCCAAAATAAATTAAACCCAAGCGCAAAGATGAAACGGAGAAGGTGTGTATAATTGTATCAAAGTATTTTTAATACAAACAGGCAGGAGAGAGCAGCTCTGGCTGACCCAATGTTCCTTCCAGTTGGAAACAGATCCTATTTCTCTCGACTCTTCCCGTCCCTTGCGCTCTTCTGAATCCTTTCCCACTCTCATCCTGAACTTTCCAGGGTGAAGCTGTTAACAGTTAAAAACCTGGTTTGTCTTTCCCTTAGAACATTATAACATGCCCCTGTTTCCCAAATGTCTGTGTTTGTTTACTGAGCCTCAGCCCTCTGCGTCGATGTCCACCCCTCTGTTTGCTCCGCTCACTTTGTCTTCATTCTCCGACTGAGCCCCGGCTCGGTTACTGGCTTCCTGTTGCCAGCATTTCTGCCTCACTTCCAACTCCACATGTGTTTTCCCGATTTGAACTGCCAGCCAGCTGCAGCCGCTGAAATGTGTTGTTGAAAGGTGTATCGCGCGAGTGTTTGTCGTGAATAAGTTAAATGGTGCCAAGTTTGGCATTACAGGTGTTGTGGAAATATTATATCATATTAACCTTTTGAGATATAACTTGCATTGCTGGAACCTGAACATTTGCAAATAAGAACATCCAAAATAACGTATTTTTTATTATTACAAAATTGAATGTTGCATTTTCCTCCTGATCTCACCCGTAAACCCTCGTACACAGAGACAAACAAGGCCGGGGCGGAATATGAGATAATGTGCATGTATATTCTATCAAACCTTTACTTATTGTTAGACCTCTGAACTGTCCATCGGGGAAAAAAGCTCTATCCACTCACCTGGATTCTTCTAAATGTCTGTTTAATAAGACATTTCAACTGTGACATACGTTTGCATGTTATTTTACTGTATAGAAAATATTTTCTCAAAGGCAAGAAAGAACAGGTTTTGGATGATGACCGATAACTGGTTCACCTGGCTTGAAAATTCCTGAATGTCAGTGAATCAATGCATGCTGTTTCTGATAACGTATTTTTCCCAGTACAGTGTGTTCCCGAGCGTCACACTCACACGTGAGTCAAACAAGCCAGTGCTGAATGATTTATAGACAACATTTTTTATGAGAGCTGCATCATGCATCATTTCAACCGGTGGCCCTGAAGTGCAAATCACAACTGCAAATAGGAAAACAACAGCAAATAAGAAATCACAACTGCAAATACACGACGCGGCTCGGGGACCGGAGTCCGATTCCTTGGCGTGAGGAAGTGGATGTGTGGCGGGAGTGCGTGATAAGAGACCGAAAAGACTGTCACGCTCAATGCGCAATACTTGAGAGGCCTGTATCGTTTCCTGTTAAAAGACAGTCAGTCCGTCTGTCCAATCAGAAGGGTCCGTCCTCTGTTAGATAGGCCCCAGCCTTTCCGTAAGAAGTTAATGTCGTTGTATTTTCCTATTTGCCGTTGTGCTCTCTTATTTGCTGTTGTGATTTGCACAGGGCCACCGCAGTTTCAAGCTCACCTTCTACACAAACAACAGAGTGCTGATCGCACATACCTTTTCAAACATTTTACAACAAAAAAATATACTGAAATGAGAACATGATTTTGTTTTGGCTTGTTCTTTCAGTTTAGAGACAGATAGATAGATAGATACTTTATTGATCCCTCAAGAGGGAAATTTTGGTACAGGGAAGAAAATAGAATAAAAAGATACACATTATATACAATATAATAAGATAAACATATTATATTATTAAATTAAATAAACTTAATAAAATTAATATTAAATAAACTAAAACTGAAAGAAAAGAATAACCTTCCAAAAGAGACAATAATAATAATTTGTAAAAGGAGAAGAGGAAGGGGAAGAGCAGCAACATCACAGCAGTACAGGGTTATTATTGTCATTATAAGTTTGAATGCATTCACAGCTCACAGGCCATGAAACGGGACTAAAAGGACTCCCCTTCGTCATCTGGTGTGAGGAGACTATGAGGGGCGACAGCGGGTGAGCGCAGAGCACGGTCGTCTTTCGATCCCAGGCCAGTGCAAGACACTTAAGCCCAACGTTGCTCCTGTAGCTGTGACGACAGTGGGTGGATGTTAGTTACTGATGTGCAGGTGGCATTTACAATGTCGAGCATTTAGATTGTTCATCGTGAGTCACGGGAAGTCCCCGTGGCTCGCCTAAGGAAATTGCAAACCCCGTAAGCTGCAACATGGCATGCGGGCTGTAATGTTGCAACACAGAGCATCCAAACCACCTTATCAGTGGAAAATTTTACAAATTATACTTTTGATTTTGTTATATTTGAACTATCGGTTTCTAGCTGTGTAGTGACAAGCAACATCAAATCAAAATATTCACAACCTGCAGTGCAAATGACTTATTAGCAGCCGAGTTGCTGTGTTGCAATTCATGCAGACCCTGGATTTTACACCCAGCTGCTTTGTTGTGCATCTAAACTTCAACTGCAACCTCGACTTTGTTCTGCAGCTGACCAAGAAGCTGGAACTCAACTCTTTGGCCAGTAAATGATACAGAACTCAAGAATAAGTGTGTTTTTGACTTGAGGTCTCTACGGTGAACCACTGCAGCGATGGAGATTCTTCCATTGACGCTGACCTAACAGTGCAGGAGTATCTGTTGTGATGCAACATAACACATTTATTACACAATTATCAGCATTGTGACATTGTTTACGCAGTAATCAGACTGATGGCGTGATCGTTTTTCTACTAGGAAAGACGCTCCTCTGCAAACACTCAGCACTTAACCCTTATTACATTACATTACATTACATTACAGGTCATTTAGCAGACGCTTTTATCCAAAGCGACTTACATTACACTTTCAACCCATGGCTTTTTCACATTTTTGCCTGGGGAGCAATTAGGGGTTAGGTGTCTTGCTCAGGGACACTTCGACATGGAACATGGGGCAGCCTGGAATCGAAGTAAGTAACTTATAACCAAAGTCATTCCTATTTCGTAGCTGAAACTTTTGCTGCCTCTTGCTCTCCGTTTGGTTATTTCCATGTGGTGCAACCTGAATGTCCGATACACTGAACCATATGGACACAAAAAGCAAAGCTTTGTGGGACTCCTGGGCAAGGAGGATGTTGTGCACGCCTACACGCCCACACTCAAAGTAAAGCGGAAGAAAACAGACAGGAGATGTTGCCCTGCAGGTATTGCGTGTGCATGTGTGTGTGTGTGAGGAACTTTGTGTCATGATCTGTCATGCTGGCTGCACGTTCACTGTGAAACACAGCTGATCAGGAATCAGGAATCAGGAAACATTTATTAGCCAAAATATGTCAAACATACAAGGAATTTGTCTTGGCGGTTAGTGCGCGACAGTAGACAGACAAGACAACAGTGCACAAGTAATAAAATAAAGTGGAATGAAATGCTAATGCAATGGGTTAGTAGAATAAGGCTAAGGCTATGGGTTAGTATAAAACAAGGGAATAAAGTTAAAAAAATATATATATTAAAAAGTAAAAAAGAAAAATATTAAGCATAAAGTGCACTAACAAACAAGTAACAGACAAGAGACAAAGTGACAAGTGACAAAGTGATGAATTGCAGTTAAAGTGGCATGTGCAGTGTGAGGGGGAGTGACCGGTGGAATGTTATAGTCAGGCAGTGGGGGACCGGGCTCTGTTGATGAGCCCGACTGCCGACGGGAAGAAAATCTGTTCGTGTGGCGGGAGGTCGTAGTCCTGATAGACCTCAGCCTCCTGCCAGATGGAAGCGGTACAAACAGTTTTTGTCCGGGGTGAGAGGGGTCGGCCGCGATCTTTTTAGATCGCTTCAGAAACCTGGAAGCGAACAAGTCCTGCAGGGACGGCAGATTGAGACGATCACCCTCTCTGCAGAGCGGATGACACGCTGCAGCCTGCCCTTGTCCTTGGCTGTGGCTGCAGCGTACCAGACGGTGATGGAGGAGCAGAGGATGGACTCGATGATGGCCGTGTAGAAGTGGATCATCATCGTCTTTGGCAGGTTGAATTTCTTCAGCTGCCTCAGGAAGAACAACCTCTGCTGAGCCTTCTTGGTGATGGAGCTGATGTTCAGCTCCCACTTGAGGTCCTGGGTGATGATGGAGCCCAGGAAACGGAAGGAATCCACAATAGTGACGGGGGAGTCACACAGGGTGATGGGGGAGGGTGGGGCTCTGTTCCGCCGGAAATCCACAACCATCTCCACTGTCTTTAGAGCGTTGAGCTCCAGGTTGTTCTGGCTGCACCACGACACCAGATGGTCAGACTCCCACCTGTAGGCGGACTCGTCCCCACCAGAGATTAGACCAATGAGGGTGGTGTCATCCGCAAACTTCAGGAGCTTGACGGACTGGTGGCTGGAGGTGCAGCTGTTGGTGTACAGGGAGAAGAGCAGAGGGGAAAGAACGCAGCCTTGGGGGGAACCGGTGCTGATGGTCCGAGAGGCTGAGACATGTTTCCCCAGCTTCACGTGCTGCTTCCTGTCAGACAGGAAGTCTGTGATCCACTTGCAGGTGGAGTCGGGCACGTGCAGCTGGGAGAGTTGGTCCTGCAGCAGAGACGGGATGATAGTGTTGATAGCTGATAGCTGATATGTTAGAGATAAAAGGGTGTTGTCATTTTCGGTTTCAGTGTCAGTCCTTCGGAGAGGAGGGTTTTGATGAGAGAGGTTGCAACCATTTCGAGAAAGTTGCTATGGAAATCGAAGAGAGGCAGAGGAAGAGAAAGAGAGACACTTATAGAGAGGCCGAGAGAGGGAGGAATCGGGGGGGTAATGTGAGCATCACAGTCAAACCAGGCTGGGTGTGCCCCACGTGCTGAGCCCAGTTAATTGGCTTCCCGGTGGAGCACTCATGCAGTCACCAATCACGTAGCTGCAAATTTATCTAATGTATCAGGTTCAACCCGCCCACCTTGTAAGGTTTAAAACCAGGGGAAGGTTGATATCAGATTCTTCAGAGTTCTTACCTTCCCGGTTGACCGAGACTCACGTTAACTCTGACCCCTCTCCCTCTTTACTAGCAGAGCACTTTGTTGAAAACCCAAGTAGCCCTTTTGTCTTCTTTAGTTTAATAGATTAAAGCATCTTTTATTTATTTTTTTTGTTGCTCCCCAACAAGGTGGAGGAATGTCACATTAATCTTACTCTTCGTGGACTGAGTTGATCACCTGGCCTGTTCTCTGTCCTGTGAGAATAGTCTCCTCTTCACATCATCACTAAGAACTGACCCGTACAGTTTACCCTCGGTATGTATCCAGTCATTCAATATCTGCACAAATACCTCTTGTGCTCAGTTGTCTTCTTTGCTGTTAAATTGTTTCCTCTATGTGCAATTCCATGTGCAGCCCACAGTATGAGTGTGTGTGTGTGTGTGTGTGTGTGTGTGTGTGTGTGTGTGTGTGTGTGTGTGTGTGTGTGTGTGTGTGTGTGTGTGTTTTTTTGGCTTTGAGAAGTCTATTTAAATGTGGTCAAACTAGGACACACTAAAGGAGATGCATGCCTATCCTAGAAATAGCACTGAGGGCCACTGCGTTGGAGCCAAATGGGTTATTGTAGTGTGTATTCTGTGACTACAGCTGTCTTCTTTGTTTGTTTGTTTTTTCATGATCAATGCTGTAATTTTCCACAGCACTTGGTCGTGGACCACAGTCAGACTGCTGTGCATATATTGCAATACGTACTATTAGGCTGACTTGCACTAATGGGAATGATCTTTTCATTGCATTTCAATTGACTTTTTCATCAATTCATTTCATTATTTTTTGTTTTGTTTTGAAAAAATACTTTTTTGAAAAATAAGGCAAAATTTGCGCTTTGCGGTAATCACTAACAGAATGATCATCTTTAATGATTGCAAAGAATGCAGTGAGCAGTTGTAATTGTGTTGAATTTGATGCAAATATTTTTCTTTTATTTGCTGGCTCTCAACTTTTCTTTTTTTTTCCTCGCTCTTTTCCATTTGAAACAAAAGCTCTCTTCGCCTGACTACTGACTTCCTCACTGTCATCGCGCATTTCCTTCTCTCGTCACTCCAATTATCGCTGGCATTCACTGTCACCGTCCATGTTCACCCTGAATAGGGCCTTGAGCCGATGAACTAAGAGAGCTGCTCCCTCTAAGAGATTAGCATTAATTGTCCATCCTTGATGGCTCCAAGGTGTATTTTCAGCAGGTCAAGTTGTTGCCTGCCAGACCTTTGAACAGCAGTCCTTGGAAGGAGCTTTGTCAGAAATAGCAAAAGTCGATCGTGGTTTCAAAGTACTCGTCTTTTTGAACCCCGCTTTTAGAAATCGGTCAGAATCCACAATAAAGTGCATCGACAGCAAACATGTAACATTCGGGCACAGTAGCAAATGTACAGATGCTGTAGGCGTAGATACAATTTTCTTTTCCGTCAGTCTACTTTTACAGCTATCATTTAATATCCTTGGTAGTTCACAGCCCATGTAGCAGAAGTAATTCAATTTTGCTTGTTACGTCTCAACAGGTGATTTTCAAGTTAGTTAATCTATTTCAAGCCTGGATTTGTTCCAGAGAAATACATGCATGCAAATTTTAACTGTCCACATCAATGGGTAGATGTTACCAAAGGAGATGAAGGGAGGTAACTGCTAGTTGTCTTTCTGACAAACATGCTTGCGTCTAACATGGTCCCATTTCGCTGCTGCATTACATCTACTTTAACATTTAGAGCCTAATAGCAAGTGCGTATGTGATCAGACACATGTTGACTTGAAGTGAAAGTCACCATTTCAACAGTCAGTCCTTTGTTACCTCACTTATGCCACATGATAACATCCAGAAATACCATTCAGCAGAGTCAGTCTGGATGGAAAAGTACTGAGAGGCCGGCTTTTGAGGTGCGTGCGTGCGTGTGAGTGTGTGAAATAGTGTTGCTGCGCCTTCTGCACGCACTTCTGCACCTGTAGGAAAGGCATTGCCACATGAAATATAATTACACAGAGAGCACTGTGAGCAACACTACGCACCTGAAAAGAGACACACACCGAATGTATCACGCAGTTTGGTCATTGGCATAAAGCATCAGGCTATAACGCTCTACCAAGTGGCAACCTTGGGTTCTGATGAAGCCAACATGGAAGATTGACCAAAAGCAGGTCAACGCACATCGAAAACAAATTTTCACTTTCACGACAACTTTCCGGGTGTTAATAATGTACAACTCAGAGTACACTTTGGGTAACAGAGGTCGCCAGCCGCCAGCTGTGTGCTCTGCTCTGTCACTGTGCCTCCGTCTCACCTCTGTGACGCGTTCTGGCCCCGAGTCGGGCCGCGTTGCCCCCGACGGTGATGTAAAAAGAATCAGTGCAACATTCATTCTTTTTGTTCTCTGATCTCAGCGTGGTGTCTCCTTTCTCAATTGTCTCTGCTTCGGCCTCGAGTTCTATTGCACGCGGTCAGCTGGCAAGGTCAATATTTGTTCGCAGTTTTTTTAAAAGCGCACAAAACTAAAAAGAGATGGACAGTTGGCCAAGAATATAGCTCTAAATTCATTCTAATTACACTGACATGTGAAGTTAAGTTATTGCTGGCACACCAGCCAAAACACCTTATTCGGCAGTACTATGCCAAGGTGTCTGTTACCATCTGTCAGAGTTTCTTTACTCTGAGATCTGCCGATGAAGAGTGCGTTAGAAATAAAATGTATTATTATTATTATTATTAAATATTCCGGAGGCAACTTTCCCAGAAGTTCCTGGGACTGAGACAATTCTTTTATTTAGTAGAAAAACAATACGAGCAGCCCTCTTGCAATTCTGCCGCCCATGTCATTGCATAATGCCCAATAAAAATGTTCCAGGGGAAGCTTGCGATATTTACTACCAGCAACTTTCCTTGCCCATTTCTTCCAAGCTCTCGGATAAGACATAACACACACACACACACACACATTTGCCTGTTAATAATAACAACTGTATTTTCAGTCTGTTCATTTGACAAACTCTTGCTTCTTTTCCTCTCTCTGTTCTCCCAAGAGGTCGCACATGCATTCGTTTCTCCTCGTTTTTATGATCCAGCCAAAAGCTGTTTGCATAAGCAAGTTCTTGGCGGCGGCCGTGGGGCTGTTGGCACGTGTTTGTGACCATGAAAACGATGGCTGTGTTTATGCGCTTCTGTTTATAATGAAGAAAAGGTTTTCTGGGGAACTTCCTTACTATGATGTTCTGGTTTTAAAACCTTTCTTGAGTCACATATCCTTGACTGCATGAACGTGAAACACGATAGTCAATGTAATCCATGCCAATGTGCAGAGAAGTGGATTCAAGTCGGGGTTTTTTGGTTTAACCGCGAACACATCGGCACGCCTGTGTACACACTAACATTTTGTGTTCACTTTACAATGTTTGGGTTGGAAACTCAGGCTGCCCAACCACTGAAGACGGGGGACAACATCTGTCCGCCATCATTGTCAGTGCTGCAAGTATTATGGTGAGACCCCTTTTCGCCTCCTTGACTCTCCGCTCTGCCGTATGCCCCAAAACCCGTGCCTTCTTTTTTTTTCTCCTCCACTTCACCCCTTGTCGACACCCTGTCCGCACAGCAAGCCGAGCTCATCCGTGACACCACTACCCTTTTTTTCTCTCCACGCCGGCCTTTTTCTTTTTTTACTGTCTTTATTTTTAAGAAGACGTAAGACCTTTTTTTTTTCATCTCTACTCAAACTCCTCAGCGCATTCATTTAAATAAAAGCTACTGGCTTCCATCCCTTATTGTTTATGATTTGTGCTTCATAGCTTTCTGCTCGTGATGAACGTATCTTCTGTTTGTCAGAATTATTGATGATACTCCCCAAGCCCCCCTTTCCCTGCAGGCTTTCTATGGCTCTTTACATAAAATATGATTTTCTCTGTGCATTTGGAGTTTTATAGCAATCAGAGTAAGAAGCATTGCAAACAGTGAATGCATATTTCTTTTACCAGCTTTTAGCGTTTCAAGTCATTTAATCTTTGTTATTTATTATGCCTCTGTACAGGAAACCCTTTCAGCAAGAGATCGGGATGGTTCTCAATGTGCCGGGTCTGGTGGTCATGGCGGGGTTCTACATGCTGATCTTGGGTACGGGCATCTGGGCATCCATGCGTTCCAAGAAGCAGGAAAAGAAGTGCTCAGGAGACGGCATGGAGATAACACTTCTGGCCGGACGCAGCATCAACTCACTAGTCGGCATCTTCACTCTTACTGGTGAGGCAGGCTGCAACCAGATTGATTATTGCGTGCACAACATTAGAGATTAGAATGATTTGTGTTTGGGGGGGGAAATGCAAATGGCTCCTGATGTCTAGCGATGGAGTTATTAAACAAAAGCGCTGCGTTTGCCAAATTGTATCTTCAATTGTGTATGTTTATCTCCCTGCAGCTACATGGGTGGGTGGAGGCTTCATCCTCGGTATAGCTGAGGCAACATACAACCCGACACTGGGCGCGGTGTGGGCCCTCATGCCTGTGCCATATGTCCTGACCTTCTTCTTAGGTGGGTAACTGCACTTATGGAGTAGATTTTGGCAGCCTATTTTAAATGAGCTTATGTATAATGGCAAAAAAATGATCAAAAGAGTGAGCTGCCTTCTCATGGAAGACCTTACAATTCAGTCTCTAAGCACAGATACTTTTCTCTCTCGAGCTGAGACGTTGCTGACCAGTAAGGTAGCTGCCATGCCCCCATCTCCACGTAGATCAATATGTCACTCACGTTAAAAATAGGACCAAGTGAATTCAGTGCAGGACTGTAACAAGAGGCAACAGGTGCAAAGGGACAGGTCCCCCAGAGACACCCCTTAATTCATCGAATCAACCAAAGTTGATTAGGGAAGGAAGAGGAAACTCCATTGTTCCTGAAGAGGAAATATAATATGTAGTTCCAGCTTCAGCTAAAGGTGTTTATTGTGCCATTCATTATTTTCCCACACACACACCTTCTCTCTCTTAATGACCCTCTTCCTCTTCTTCCCTCATCTCTCATTTGGATTTCAAATGATAAACACATTTGAAGCCGTGTTTGCCTTCATCATTTCGAGGGAGTGATCATCCATTGTTTGATGCTAATCCCTCCCCTCCTATTCCAGGTGGGTTTTTCTTTGCCAAGCCTATGAGAGAGAACAAGTATGTAACAATGATGGACCCCTTCCAACAAAAGTATGGGAACGTTGTGAGCAGTGCGTTGATCTTTCCCGCTCTGGTGGCTGATGTCCTGTGGGTGGCACGCACACTTGTCAGCCTGGGTAAGTTGTTTTTTTCTCTTTGTAAAACCGTTATTAATATAGTATGTACACACACTTATTTACATATGTATTCAATCATGCAGCAAATCACAGACCAATCACCAGAACAGCATGGTGATGGTTGCACCAGGGTGCAGCGTTTATTTGTCTGCTCACTGGGGCTCACCGCAGGAAAGCGTGTGAAAAGAAGAAAGACCTGACAATATAAGAGAAGAGTTGGCATCAAAATGTGCAGCTTGCCTCTCAAGGTCTTTTTACACTGTGTAAAGATACAATTTCTTAACATATTTACATTTTTAAAACAATAAACTCACATTCAACTTTATACAATGAGGAGGGGCCTGTAGTTACATTACAGGTCATTTAGCAGACACTTTTATCCAAAGCGACTCACATTACACTTTATACCCACGGCTTTTCACATTTTTGCCCGGGGAGCAATTAGGGGTTAGGTGTCTTGCTCAGGGACACTTCAACATGGAACATGGGGCAGCCGGGAATGCTTCCCAGCACACCTTCTCTAACCCCTGCGCCACGACGACCCAAAGTTTTTTTTCATTACTTTTACAAGTATGGAGTGAACCCCATGCAGGCTTAACCTACACCAGTTCACTTTCCTATTTATAGCGCTAAAGAAGCATGTTATTGAGTGTAAATGCTGAGCTTGATTGCACGTGTTTTCGTCATTCATGACTCGACTGAATCATATATTGTATTCGTGTTTGCTAGATTGTGTTTTGTGTCTGTTTAATGGAATTGATATAACTCTTTAGGCTAGAAAGAGTCTTTAAAGAATTCTAATTCAAACTCAAAAACAAGTGCCAATTCATGACATCCAATGTCTCACAAACATTGCATAATACACCTCCTGATATTTTGCCAAAAAAGAATTTCACCCACCAAGCTTTGCGTCTGGTTAGCAGTGGCTTAGTGCAGCGAGGTGCAGCCCTGTTTGCTCTGGTAGTTCCGTTAGCTGTCCGTCTGCCAAACAAAGCAGAGGGAGCGCTGCACTCAGTTGAAGCCTCAAACAAACATTTTAGGCTTCTTCCGAAAAACTCTTCTCTAAAAAAAAAGAGATATTCAGCCAAATCCTACAAATAATTGATTTATATCACTTAGCCTTTATGGTCAGGTTTTATACCATGGGTGACAGGTAGCCCATACTTTACTACGTACAGGTCATCTCTGATATAATGTTCATGGCAACGTCATTGGGAGGCTTGAAGCTGGCGGGAGTTGACTTTTCAGCAAACGGTCAATCGACGGCTGTCTTGCTGACATAAAATAAAAAAAGAATTATGAGCATAAACTGGGTTAGTAAAAGAAAATGACCTACTGCCTCCATTGAATATTCTTATTTAGATGGATTTTGGTTGTGAAGAGTTGACTGGAGTACTCATTTGAGATGAAGTGTTGCTATTGTTTGTATCTCTAATCTGTAAATGATCATTTACATGTGTTTCTCTGCTTTTATATATACATAGTTAAAGTGTGCGGTAGCTCTGCAGCGTGTTTACTTATGTGTGTCTTTAACACTGTTTTCTTTTCCAGTGTTTTTTGAAAAGGGGGGTTAGTCATCGAGCAGCCTGTTTGATTGTGAAAGGTGATCTTTATTTACTCAAATCAGATGTCATCATACGCCAGTGGATTCATCAGATTTCTTTTCCAGAGCTCTAACTGCTTTAACTGTGAAATGTTACATGCTCTATTCACACAATAATGTCACAGAGAAAAGTTTTGTTTGTTTTCATCTGGGGAACCAGTGAAATCCTTTGACAGTGTTTGACGCTCCGTAAAAGGACTGGTTGGGTGGCAGGAATTCTCGTAAGCTATTAAACCAATATAGAGTCAGGGGTCTCCTCGTTGAGACCTCCCGTGGACACGTCTGCCAAGTGACCGGCAGGCACTTGGCAGACACATACGTCACACACATACATCAGCACTTGAAACTCCAGAGGGTCCACTGAGCATTGGACCCACACAAGCTTTTGCTCGGAAACCGTTGGTTTATGTGCGCGTCTACGTAGTAACGGTTGAGCATCAAGGTCCGATTGACACCGCGCTTGTGTGTGTGATTGGTCGAGTGACAGGAAGCCTTTTAACTTTCGTGACACATTTCCCACAAGCTGTAATCCAGCTGGGTGCAGTATCAACAGTACTACAGAGTCCAATTTCTTCCCGGTAAGAAGCGAGGACAAAATGTAAATGCTGCAAGCAATGTGTTCATGGGTGCTCTTGCACTTATGTAGCGGTTACCCATCACAACAGGTGGTAAATAACTGTAGTATTTCTAACCTGGTTGTAATGGCACGTAAGACACGGTAAAGATGGTCAACCAGATAAAGCAGCCGTTAAACGATATGCACACAAATCGGTGGGCATTTAGGAACACGTGAGGGGGAAGGACAAACTGAAAACTGTGAAATATGTATTGTCAAGATGCTGCAAAGACGGGGGGGGGCGTCGCTTCAGGGGGGTGAGCAGGGTGGCAAATCGGGATCGATTGTGCCGCTCTGACACTTCTCTGTTTAAGGGCATTGTTGTGTGTGGCTGCAGGCTGCGGCTGGGGACACCCCGGCATTGCGGGAGAAGAGCTGGTGAAGGTAGTGTCGTTTTGCTTGCCTTGATTGAGTAACAAGATGTCTTCGCCTATTATTAACTTGTTTATCTTTAGTTATACTTTGTTTTGAGTACGTTTTACACATTTGTTTCACTACTTGAAGACACTTCTCTTTACCCTGTGATTGATTTTGTTTACTGCATTAAGAATTATCAGTGTTAGAGTGATAATTCAGAGGGTGACCAGGCATTTTCGGGAGTCACAATCAATAGGCTGTTTCTGTTCTGTGTTTCTGTACAGTTCTGTAAAGTGTAAAGTGTATTGTTGTTACTTTTATGTTGGCTTGTTGCTTTATCCGAGCTCTTGGGCGCTTTTTTAAAGTTTAACCAACTTAAGTTAAGCCTCCCATGCCTAGACTTTATCATTGATTTTAATAATTAAACAAAATAACTACAAATGTAAAGTTCTGCTTTTTGTTGGTTAACGTTTAATTTATTCATGTATTTTTTGCAAAGGAAAAAGCAAAACAAGACATTGCGCAGTCTTAAGTATAAATACATACAAGTGGATGCACGCAGAGTACAATGTGTGTCTGCGTGAGAGGGAAAAGGCTTCAGATCCAAAAAGAGAATGAAAACCTAATACTTCATATAACTCTCACACTCGGCACCCGCATGTATCCGTAGCAATCAACGCCTGTACAACAGACATCCTGGTGTGAGACCTTTGTTCCCGTCGCTCACCGCTCTGCTGTGTTGCTCTAGGTGGGACCATGAGTGTAATCCTGGACCTGCCCTACGTCTACTCCATCATCATCTCCTCAGCGGTGGCCATGATCTACACACTGCTGGGGGGGCTCTACTCTGTGGCCTATACGGACGTCATCCAGCTCATCCTCATCTTTGTCAGTCTGGTGCGTAACGTCTAGCTAGTGACCGGTTTACCGGTCGAACAAACGGGGAGGGAAGCCTCACAGCGGCAACCTTTTTCCCACTTTTGAATAATACACATCATCCATGTAACAAATCCATGTATCCTGTTAATAAATCACTCAACTACATTTGCAAGTTGATGAAAGGAGACGGATTAAGAATCCCAGCTGATTATATTACCTGCTAAATTAAAGAATGTTTGACTTAATTAGCTTATTCGAAAACATATTTGTCAAGCACGTCCTCATTCGATTAGTTCATGTATTGGGTAATTAACATTAGCTGGTTAGACATTCTCTCTCTGGATGGTGGCCACTGGCCCTACTCAGGAGAAAACTCCTTGGGCCTCATTCACTGAAAAGTTGCCATCCAATTAGCTCTAAAGACTGAAAACTGGGAGAAATGCTCGCCAAGCTCAGTACAAAGACAGCATCGTAGCAGAGCATTTTAAACGTTTTACAAAAAATGGAACAACAACTTTGTCTTCGCATAATAAATAGTGGTTGACAAAATAGTCTCCCCACAAAGGAGATTTCAATTACTTAGCATTTAGCCCAATTGAAGAAGTTAATCCCCTATAAAGGAGCATGTCACATGATTAAAGTGAGGGCGGTTTGGATCGTTTAGACCCCAGTGAACGTAACCATTGTGTGGCTTCAGCGCCGCACAGCACTCAGAAACTGGAGCTGGAACTCCATCCGTGGTTTCAGATTCCTTGATTTCGGTGACAGCCGGAAATCTTCCCCTAGTGAGCCAAAAATCTGATTGGCTGCATCGTTGTGTTTGTGTGTGCAGTGGGTGTGTGTCCCTTTCCTGATGACCAACCCTCACTCTATGGACATCTCACTGACGGCCTACAACGAGACCTTCCAGGCTCCCTGGGTCGGCACAGTGGAGCTCGATGAGGCCGGCAAGTGGTTCGATGACTTCATGCTGTTGGTGAGTGGGCTCGTCGTTTCGTCTGATGAGCACAACATCCGCAAAATGCATTCAATATGTTTTCCTCTTTGTGCTGCACTGCTGTGCTGAATGTTTCCCGTCATAATGTCTCAACTTTGTGTTTGTGCCAGGCTCTGGGGGGTTTGGCCTACCAGGCGTTTTACCAAAGAATTCTATCCGCCTCGTCTTACACCCAGGCCCAAGTTACCTGCTTCGCCTCCTCAGGCTTCTGCCTGGTGCTGGGGATCCCCTCCATTCTGGTGGGGGCTGTGGCCGCCTCTACAGGTACACACTCCCAATTTACAGGTGTAGAATTTCTTAAATCAGCTTTCAGCTTCAAGGTTCAAGCAACAAGGGGTTGGACAACGAAATGCAATTGTATTTGGGTTTCTCTTGGTAAAAAACAACATGTCCTTTAAAATCCTTTGGGCCATTTCGCACCTCTCACCAATATCACTGGCTGTCAGAAAACCGATGATATTCTGGGCAGCATTAATCACCTCTCAGTCTGTGCAGTCAGAATGGCTTCTATTGCTACTGTGTAAACATACACAAGAACTTGGTAGTGGAGCTTTGGGTCTTAAGTTTCTTTCTGAAAAGTTTATGTTTAAGAAGTTTAGGTTGGAAATGTGTGATGAAAATGTCAAAACAAACATTTGTGATCCCAGGAACTCAAAATTGTTGACTTGCTGCACCTTAGCTCCATTGATAATGTGCAGGAGTTGGTTAGCTTTTGCTCATTTTCTTTCTGTAGTCTTCCATCAGCTCTTTGGTTTTCACTGACTTTAAGCGGTTGTTCGCTGTGCACCACTCTTATGGTGTTGTCTCTATTTATATTAATCAGAATTTAGACTTGAATTTAGACTATTTTCATCATTTCACTGAATTAAGCTCTGATTATTAGACATTGCACATTACTTTGATCTCAATCCAAAAATAAATCTGTCTTTCCATCCAGACTGGAACTCAACCAGCTATGGATTACCCACCCCGTATGAACGCAACCAGGCAGGCTCAATCCTCCCCATCGCCCTGCAGTTCCTCACACCACCCTACGTCTCCATCATCGGCATTGGAGCTGTAGCTGCCGCGGTCATGTCCTCGATGGACTCAGCTCTTCTGTCCTCCGCATCATTGTTTTCCTCAAATATCTACAAGAACATCCTCAGGAAGCAGGTGAGAACTTTGGAGAAAGGTATCAACGTTGTGCATGACCATAACAACACACTGAATACTTCTGTTGACAAAAGAAGGTTTGAAAATGTAATGTCTTGTAGTCGGATCAACAGTCACATGCCGGAAATAACTTGAAAATCCTTAGTTTAATATCTTTAAAATATGTGACTTTCATCTGATTACCATCAGAAGATTCCACCCCCGAGAATGTTCTCGTTGTGCTGCCACTTACATGTCTTTGTCTTTGCGAGGGGATCTCTTGAACGTCTTGGTAAAAGGACTTTATAAAGGTCCTTTCTAGTCGTTTGACCACTGAAAGTACTCGACAACATTTACTTCATGCTGCAAACCGAAGACAGAGTACGAGACATGCCATACAAGGGGATCTTCAAGCCGCACCCAGAAGCTCTCATAACCCGATGATCGTTGCTACGACGAGCTGTAATGTCTTTCTTCTCGTCATTCTCTGCGCTCCTGCAGGCATCCGACCGTGAGATGATGTGGGTGATCCGTACCTCGGTGGTAGTGGTGGGTCTGGCTGGCACCGCCCTCACCTTCCTGGACAACAGCGTTCTGGTCTTCTGGCTCGTGGGCGTGGACATGTCCTACACGATCATGTTCCCTCAGCTGGTCTGCGTCCTCTTCTTCGAGGTGTCCAACGGCTACGGGGCTACCCTGGGCTACTTGATGGGGATGATCCTGCGTTTGCTGAGCGGCGAGCCCCTCATCGGCCTCCCGGCCGCCATCCACTTCCCCGGCTGCCGCTTGGACGCCGAGGGAAAGCTAACCCAGTACTTCCCCTTCCGCACCGCTATCATGGTCACGTCGCTCTTGACTATCCCGCTCTTCTCCTGGCTGATGGCCGTCGTTTTCAACAAGGGCCTGCTGTCTGAGAGGTGGGACGTGTTCCAGGTCAAACGACAGGAGAAACCAACGGCCGCGGCCGCAGCCATGGACGACGAGAGGACCAACTGTGGTACGGAGGAAGCCTCCACCGCCAAGCAATTACTGGACACCACGCGCTGCTGAAGGGCGGATGGAGAGGGAGAGAAGATGGCAAACATGTTCTATTTTCTGCTAAGCAGGGGGGGGGATTTGGAGCAATCGTCATTAGCGGAGTGTGATCTGAGCACCTCGCACTACTTCATGAGTGGCCTCTTTGTCTTCCACAGAGAATACACTGAAAGGAGGCTTTCTGGGGGGGTGTCAGCAATTCAGATGTTATCCCTCACAGCATGTAGAGAAAGTCCTTCTCACATATAAGGGCCAAGCGAGAAATGCTAAGCACTGCTGCGTTACATATATTTATGTTGTCTATATAAAATGCAGCATAATCTCAAATATTAGATCAAATGTAATTATGTTTTATTAGATATTCTTCCCTAAAAACAAACTTTTACATTCGCACAGATATAAAGAAATATATTTTTTTAGTAAATTGAGATTTTTTTTTTCCCCAAAGACCACCGTGTGGCAACAAAGAAGACGTCCTCCAAAAGTTATTTATTTGATATTGCATTTTGTTAGACAAAATGTTGTGCAGATTGTTTTACTTCACACACAAACATGGCTAATACACCAATTAGATGTTAGAAAGATTGTGCTGTTTTCTGATACCTAAACGTGTTGCTGTGTATTATTAGACACAGCAGTCCACACTACTGGAGATGTTTTATTTTTTATTTTTTTAATAATCTGTGTGCAAAGAGAGAATATCTGAGTTCTGTGGACGTGTCTAAGATGTGAAGATTAATAGTTACATGTGGATTTTAAGACCAACGTTTACCTCCATTGATCAAATACCTTCACCTGCGTACTGGTGACTAAAGTGTGCAATCCTGTCGACTGCAACTGAGTTGTTACGCAGAGATGTTTACTCTCCCAAGCGAGCGATTTCAAAAAAACGTTAACAGAAGAACGCACCGCAAAAGAACTGGAACTGGAGTCCTGGACTGGAGACTAGACTGTTCGAAGAACCTTAAGTTTTGTTTTACTGAGCCTTATTGTAGTGCTGTTGTGCAGGGAGAGTTCTGCTAACAAGTTAAAGGGGTGAACACTCTCGACACTGTTCAAATACCTCCTGCACTGGTCATGGTGGATCTAAGCACACAGGACGTTGACCTCTGACCCAAACTCCCCTCCAAAGGGCGCTTCTCAAAACAGGACGTTTTTAGGGCACAATGCATCCATCTTTTTATGCGTTTGTGATTTCCTTACTCTTGTATACTGTACAGTTGTTGTCATTATGATTTGTGTATTAACACTTGTTTTTTTAACTGAGCTTATTGCCATGCGTTGTGATTTCCACAACGCATGGCAATAAGCATTACATGTAATTTCACCTTCACACGTGTTTTTAATGACTGCGTGGCAGTTAATTTTGTTTCAGCAGTGGTCCTGAACACACATCACAGGAATCAATGTTACATAATGCTGTGGGAAAGTATTGGCCACACTTCGGCCCGATAACGTCTCAAGACCTGATTTGATGGAAGAAGACCTGCTAGCGCCACAATATAAAGAAGGACGGCAACGCCTCAATAATGGAGTGCATGTTAACTGTCATCTGTGCATTTCCCACTTTTTGAGGAGAAAAGTGTTGTTTTCCATGTGGGTCAAGAATCATCTTTGAAAGTTTTTAACAGTTGTTAGTTTTACAATATCAACAGGTAGTACATTGCATTATCCTCTATTAAATATGCATGCATACTAATATGCATGTTGGTAAACAATGATGTTTGTGCAAGCTGTTCACTCTTGCCACTACTACTTTGTAATCAACCCCATGAGATGATGTTCTGTCAAAATAAAAGCTGAAACCAAATCACTGTTTCCTTGGAGTCTTAAATCATCTTATGTGCATCTCTTCTACAAGGCCACCAGACATCCAGGCGACCTGAAATCGGACTAAGTATCTCTTAGTAGACCAAGCTAGTCTACTAAATTTGCTGTTGATTCTAGTGTCTTAAGTTAATTTAATTGCTGATTTGCTTTAGTTTTTGTCGTCTCACGACCAGTTCTCTTTGTTTGAAGTTATCTTGGTTGCTAGTTTGCTCAAGCTCTTTCAGTCTTTTAGTGCCAGTTTGTGTTCTAGATTCTACTATTAAGTTAACTGCCAGTGTGCCCTCCTAACTCTGCTAGGTTTTGACCTGATCTAAGTCTGTTTTGCCTTGTTTTCTGAAGCAAATAAGACTTGTATCCTTAAACTCTCATTTTGTCAAAACACCACATGGTGTTTGTTCACTGATTAGGGTGTCAAGCTATTGGTGCTTTGCATTTTGAGGAGTTTCTGTCGAGGCCAATCGACCTTTTGTCTCCTAAACGACGGGGGAGCGGCCAGCGCAGCCGCAGCCGACTTCCACTAACGAGGGAGGATTTAACTAGAAATCGTGGGAAGCGTTAGCTTATCCTCGCAGCACGAAGACGAGCAGAACAAAGACAAGGAGTCTTTCGTGGAGTCTTCGGGGCGGCTGAATGCGGCGCCTTCTGCTATTTTTAATAATGTGTTTGACCCCTTTACCCGTGCCTGTTCGAATCTCTTCCCGCAGATACTACAGGCCTCGGGCTAGATCTGCTCTCTATCGTAACCTCTCCTCTCTCTCCCATCCCACCCGCTCCACACACGTCCAGCACCTCGTCACAGGAGGTCTCTGGAACTGCCAGTCAGCGACTCGCAAGGCTGACTTCATCTCCGGCTTCGCTATCCAGCAGTCATTGGACTTCCTCGCTCTCACCGAGACCTGGATCACACCTGAGAACACATCCACCCCAGCCGCTCTCTCCTCCGCCTTCTCCTTCAGCCACACTCCCAGGCCCACTGGTAGGGGTGGTGGCACAGGTCTACTCATTTCACCCAAATGGAGCTTTTCTCTCTACCCTCTACCACCATCCACCCCATTGTCCTTTGAATTCCATGCTGTAACAATCACTCACCCGGTACAATTAACCATCATTGTCCTCTACCGTCCGCCAGGCTCCTTAGGTCATTTCTTGGAAGAACTGGACATTCTCCTGTCTAATTTCCCCGAAAATGGATCTCCGCTCATCCTCCTGGGTGACTTCAACATCCAGACAGAGAAGTCACCTGACCTCTTACACCTACTTTCTTCCTTCGCTCTGTCACTCAGTCCCTCTCCTCCTACTCACAAAGCCGGCAATCACCTTGACTACATCTTTACTAGAAACTGCTCTACCACTAACCTCTCTGTAACTCCACTTCATGTGTCTGATCACTTCTTCATCTCTTACTCCCTTCCACTCTCTATAACTAACAAACCTCCCTCATTGACTAACTCTATACCGGCTCGTCGCAATATTCGCTCCCTCTCTCCCTCCTCGCTGGCATCCTCTGTTCTATCAGCTCTCCCTTCAACTGACTCCTTCTCACTCTTGCATCCAAACGCTGCTGCAGAGTCTCTCCTCTCAACTCTTTCCTCCTCTCTAGACTCTCTTTGCCCTCTTACGACACGACGGACTGGCAAATCCCCTCCGGCTCCGTGGCTGTCTCAACCGGTCCGTGCCATGAGAGCCACCATGCGAGCTTCGGAAAGGAAATGGCGTAAATATAAACAACCTGAGGACCTGCTCGAATTTCAATCTCTCCTCTCCTCGTTTTCTGCTTCTATCTCTGCTGCCAAAAGCTCTTTCTACCAATCCAAAATCGAATCCTCATTCTCTAACCCCAAAAAACTCTTCTCGATCTTCTCCAATCTCCTCGAACCCCCTCCCCCTCCTCCCCCCTCCACCCTTCTTCCGGGAGACTTTGTCAACTACTTCACCAAAAAAATAGCTGACATACGCTCCTCCTTCTCAAACCCACCTCCTACTTCTCGCGTCCCACCGACCTCACCTCTTTCGCCCTCACTTTCCTCTTTCACCGCCCTCTCTCCTAACCAAATTCTTACCCTAGTAACCTCTGCGCGTCCGACCACCTGCCCTCTTGACCCCATTCCATCACATCTTCTACAATCTATTGCACCTGACCTTCTTCCGTTCCTTACCTTTCTCATCAACAACGCTCTGATATCTGGCTGTTTTCCCAATTCTCTGAAGGAGGCAAGAGTCAACCCTCTCCTGAAGAAACCCACCCTCAACCCTTCTGAAGAAAACAACTACAGACCGGTCTCTCTTCTTCCCTTTTTGTCCAAAACCCTTGAACGTGCTATCTTTAATCAACTCTCCTCTTATCTCCACTGTAACAACCTCCTTGACCCCCACCAGTCAGGTTTCAAGGCAGGCCACTCCACAGAGACTGCTCTCCTTGCTGTCTCTGAGCAACTCCACACTGCTAGAGCCGCCTCTCTCTCCTCTGTCCTCATCCTTCTGGACCTCTCTGCTGCATTTGACACGGTCAACCACCAGATCCTTATTTCCTCCCTTCAGGAACTTGGTGTCACAGGCTCTGCTCTCTCCCTTCTCTCGTCCTACCTCGATGGTCGCACCTAGCGGGTAACCTGGCGAGAATCGGTGTCGGAACCTTGTCCTCTTACTACTGGAGTTCCTCAGGGTTCCGTGCTGGGTCCCCTCCTGTTTTCGCTTTACAAACTCTCTTGGCGCTGTCATTCGCTCGCATGGCTTCTCTTACCACAGCTATGCCGATGACACCCAACTAATTCTCTCCTTCCCTCACTCGGACACCCAGGTGGCGGCTCGGATCTCTGCCTGTCTAACTGACATCTCTCAGTGGATGTCCGCCCCACCATCTGAAAATCAACCCCGACAAGACTGAACTACTTCTCTTTCCCGGAAAAGATTCGCTTACCCAGGACCTGACAGTCAAATTTGGGAACTCCGTACTAACGCCCACCTCGACCGCTAAGAACCTCGGCGTCACACTCGACAGCCAACTCTCCCTGACTCCCAACATTGCCGCGACAACGCGATCCTGTAGATACACGCTCTCCAATATCAGGAGAATACGTCCCCTTCTCACTCAGAAGGCAGCGCAGGTACTGATTCAGGCTCTTGTCATCTCCCGCCTGGACTACTGCAACTCCCTCCTGGCAGGTCTCCCTGCCACCGCCATTCGACCTCTGCAGCTCATTCAGAATGCAGCAGCTCGACTGGTCTTCAACCTTCCGAAATTCTCCCACACTACTCCACTCCTCCGCTCTCTTCACTGGCTACCTGTGGCCGCCCGCATCCAGTTCAAAACATTGGTGCTCACGTACCATGCTGTGAATGGATCGGGTCCAGCTTGCATCCAGGACATGGTCAAACCCTACATCCCAACCCGCACTCTCCACTCTGCATCTGCAAAACTACTCGTCCCTCCCTCACTGAGAGCAAAACACTCGACTAGGTCTCGACTCTTCGCTATCCTTGCGCCGAAATGGTGGAACGAGCTCTCTGAAGACACCAGGACCGCAGAGAGCCTTCACATCTTACGCCGCAAACAAAAGACGCACCTCTTCAGACTCTACCTCGACTAAAGACTAACAAATTGTAGCACTTAAATTGTACTTGTAACGTCACTCATCTATAGCAAATTGTAAATTGACTTATTTGAGGAAATTGCACTTTCTTGTTTCTTGTTCTCCTGAGTTTGTACCCTATGGTTGAATGCACTTATTGTACGTCGCTTTGGATAAAAGCGTCAGCTAAATGACATGTAATGTAATCTTAATTGCTCAATGCCCGTGAGCCTTCCAAAATGTTCTACATTCTAAATACGAATTGTTTTCTAAGCATCCAAATAACTTAACGGTAATGGTAAAGGTAAATGTCGGGTGAGCTTCTCTGCTCCGGCAGTGAAATGTAACACACTGGCTGGAAAAAAACAAAAACAATGACACAGAGAGCAGGACACACATTAAATGTTTTGTATTGCTGGAAGCCACGGGAGGTTTGTCCTCTTCCTGATAGTGAACCTGCCTGCTGTGTTGGTTTAGTAGAGTTGGCTGCAAAACAGTCCATAACCCAACCGTTATGTCCCGAGAGTCCCGAGAGTGAGACTTTTGGCTGAGACGGAGGATGACAGCAGCCCGTACTGCTGAGGATGAATACATGCAGAAGTCAAACAGAACTATTTATACAAACTGTTTATGTGCAAGTTCTCTCTGTTCACTCTCTGTTTACTTAACACTTCAGTTACAAACATTTTGACATTTGAGCTTGAGGTTAAAGCAAGCAGCTACGGGATGTGGAAGGGGCATCAACTTCAGGCTGAGCCTGGTACTCACATCCTTTTGTGGCTTATTCAGCTTGAAGATGTATTGTTGGTATCTGGCTTGTCCGGCGTTGTTCAATGTATATCTTGAAGAAATTAAGACCAAACGACAATGCTCCGACAAGTAACAGGTAAGGGTTCCACGCCAATATGTTGGGATATCTGTGGAGACAAAAAGTCGGCCCAGTTGGAGATGAGGGAAGAGTGCCTCAACTTCATTTCTCACTATGTCAACTTGTAATCGTGGATCCTGTTGCTTGGAATTTCAGCAGCTCCTCAGCTAATTGGCATGTCAACGTTACGGATGCTTCTGTAACTCTGACGAGCAAATGTCACACCGCAAATATCCTTTTTTGGAAAAGTCAAATTTAGAGTTCAAATAAAACTCTGAATCTGTGTGACGCAGAATACTAAGAAGCACAATATAAAGTTACCCGAGTTTTATTTTGCTAACTGGATATGAAGACCGATGTTAGCATGCTAGCCAATTTCAAAATCCTCTTTCAACATGGGTCTTACGTTGTTAAGATTCAGCTTCAACTCCATTCCTCGGCTATTTTTATTCCTCTATGAGTAAAGGTCAGACAACATCCCCTTTATAGAGAGAGAGCGTCTGCTCCTACAGCTTTCATCTTATACTCCTTTCTCCTTTCGAG